TAGCTGCTATGTGGCAGTGCTGGCACTAGCATGTCCAGGAGGCCTGTCTTGTGATATTTCTAGTACATATTGAAATAATTAGGGTGTTTTTTTCATATCAATATACACTTCTTGTGTCTGGTGACTAAGAACACTATCGGAGAAATCATTGTATTGATTACTCTCTCTTGACAAGGTTGTCATGGTAATGTAAACATCTTCCATTTAAAACAGTTAGCATTTTGTTTTTCCCCCAGTAAACACACTAACATAATGTATGGAATTTATGGTATTTATATGCACAAATATATTTTTGTTTTCGTAATTATTTTCTTCCTACCCCAAAACCATAACATGTGGTTGATTAGTAGGACAAGTTTATCCTAAAATTCCCAACAGTGTGTGCTTAGACCACCTAGAGAGAACAGTGTCTGTGTTGTGTGTTAGTCACTGTTACCATGGTTACTGGGCAGAGTTACACATAAAACACCATTAAAATACAGAAAGGTTAGAGGTGTGACTATAGATGCCCGGTATGACTTACGTTTTGATACATACCATTGTCATTGACCATGTCATAGCGTGTAACCTTATACTTTCAAAACAAAAGGAACACTACAAGCTGATAAAACCTTTGGAGACCTTGGCCTGGATTGCCACTTTGCATGCTTATCTGTAGATGTAATTGTAACATGTTCATATATGGCAGTGTTCAGAGATTTGGTGGTGTTCGTACTACATTCCTTTGTTGGTATCATTACCATGCTGAAACAAAATCACCAAGATGTTTTGAATGACAGTCAGTGTCCCCCAAAATGAACCGATCTGAAATCTTGGTGTTTTGAAATGAAGGGGACTTTACTCCTATAGTGTTTGAATCCAGGGACCCCCAAATCTTATACTTTTGGCATTGCGGCAACAGTAAGGACCCTTCATTCGTGATATTGAACTCAGTAAGGATTGGCTTTGTCATTGTGGGTGACAAGTGACAATGCTCAAGTTGCAGACTAGGATTATGATGATAACAATACCCAACTGAAACATGTTTTGTAAACTTGAGTCAGGAATAGAAACATCTAATTTAATACCAATATACCACATTCATTCTCAAACCTTAGAACAGTGAAGTAGAGTGACAAGAATAAACCAGTGCAGTTGCAAGCATGGCCAGCTAGCATTGAAAAGAAAAGTAGCCAAAAAGATGATATGTAGAAATGAAATATTCTTTCTGGCACTGTTTGTTTATTTGTAATCATGGTAGAATGCCAGCTATGAATATGATCACAAGTATGAGTGTAGGCAGATGAATGGTCCACTATGCCACTGTTTTGAAAAAAGCCCTCTGTAATCATGGTAATATCTGGTGGATAGAGGCCAAAGAACCTACACTTGAATCGATTTCTGCATATTCTCATATATACTTTTATATATGCTTCTTCTGTAAATATGCTTTTAATGTAACATGTTTATGGAAACTAACTGCGTGTATTTATACTACTAGTATATTGCCTGCATTCCATACTAGATGGCTTTTCACTTATCTAATCTTATGCACGTCTTCGATTTCAACACGGTGCTTGTAATGTAACCCAAGGTAAGGCTATGCACTGGTACTAAACAAGGTACCAAGATAATTCGTACAGTTTGACTGGGCAGGGCTCTCTATCTTAGTTTGCAATATTGCAGTTTGAATGTAATTCTTCAACATACCATTAACTCCTCAGCTTTGGATAAAGTAGTCATAGTTACTGATGAAGGTTCATTTGGTTTATGTGTTATATTGAGGATGGGTAATCTTGTAAGCAAGATTCCTTCTTTAAATGAGAGGTCACACACAGGGCAGGAGATGTTTGAGAAGGAGGTGCAGTGAGAGCATTAGATGCTAAGTAGTGGGTGGCTATAATATTACAGAATTGTCTTCTTGTATTGTACTGTTAGTGATACTGAGCCTAGTGAAACTTACACCTGAGTGATAGAGGTCAAACATAGGGTAAGACCTTTCCACACATACTCGGTATGTGCAAGTTGAAACTTAAGAAGGTCCCAGATATTTTAAGACCCGGGGGTTAATTCCGCTTCATCTTTTAATCAAGATTTTGCTTTATCTTAAATTTTTGATGTTATGGTTAATATGATAGACTTTGTGTGAGAGGAAAGAGGTGATTAAGCATATTTCTACAGGTTTTTGACTTGCTGAATTTTAGGGCAATGAATGTATAATGAAAGTAAAGCAGTGCTGAAAATGAAAAAAAGAAGTCAAAGGGTCATAACCTTAACATGTCTGATAAAAGGCAAAAAATGTGGGTGGTACCTAGATTATAGTACAAAAGGCAAAAGGAGCAAAACTTAAAACCTCCTAATTTCAAACACTACAACAGGTTACTGAAAACAAACACAGCTATGGAATATAATTTAACAAGTCAGCAGATCTGTTGATCAATACCATGCCATTCCTACCATTCCTCTGACAATAGGTTTATGTCCAAAGATTGTATCTGCTGAAGAGTTATATCAAGAAGGGGGTAAAATATCTGATCATATGTATTACATAGTATTACCTGAGGGACTAAGTTCACTTTACTTCTCAGTGAAATATTTTGTTTATTTTACCTAGTTTTACCATGTTAATAGTCATCATGAAGGCTGTTATTTGTATTTGTTTCATAGAATGATAAACTTGAATTATTTTTAACTAACTTGAACCAGAAAGGCTGATTGTGTCAACATGTCAAATCTGACTCTTCATTTAGTATTATTTTATTAACAGAGATGGAAATTTACCAAGAATTGTCTGTTCTAATGAATACTGGTAACACAAAGCTATGCTCCAAAAAAATATTTGAAATTCTAGTGGCTCTTATAATTCTTTTAACATTAACAAAACATGCCCCAAAATGAATCAGACCAATATGTTTACAAAACATAGGTATACTGGGAAGTGACTACAGTCAATTTATGAGCCACAGTTTAATGAGTTATCAGTTTTAGGGGGCCGTCTATGTTTGTGTGAGGCAATATTGTATTTTTATTTAAGATACTCGTACCATCATGTTCCTAATTGTGAAATTCTAGTAGTGTTTAATGAAGCATAACCTTAGAGCTAGCAGATCCCCCACTAAGATACTCAGTGGAAGGATTTCCTTTATCCAAGAATGCAGATAATCATTTGCTAGAGTATATTGGCATATCACTGATGTGTGGGAATCAATGGCAAGGACGAGGGAAGATATTCGCTACTCAAAAGATGAATCGATCCAGGCTTTTTATCCTTCCGCTCTCGTAACACTAGCCCCAAACTTGAAAAACCGTTAATGTTATTTATTAGGATGCCTTGTTGGCTTGATAATATTGGGGGGTGAAACCTTGCCTTGGATGATCATTTCTGGTCAAATGTACATAAATCAATATGTATCTCAGCCAGTTAGTCAGAATTTTGACCAAATACTCATTTTCTGAATCTTTACCGAGCACGAGTGAGGTTTGTATCTGATGTGGCAATCGCATACGCAAATCTCTTGAGTGTTATGACTGGCACAAGACACAGAGTCTTTATGTAGCTGTGATTTCTTTGAATTTCTGATAGGGAACAGGCAAAGCAGTTCTTGATTAATAGGAGGGAAACTGGATCAGCTGTATTTTTAGCCGATCTATTGATTTGGCCTATTTTGAGAATGCCGATGGGTACATCGTTTATTGTCAATTCTGTTGGATGTGGATTTATATCAATTGATCGCTAATGGATGAGCAGAATTTCCTCAATAATGCCTCTTGTATTTTCCAGGACTGTCATTTGATAAATTGTGTGGGGCATCTTTCTGTGAATATTCTTAGGATGAAAATGATTACAATTATTGTTTTCATACTTGTATCACAAAATGACATGTTAAAACACAAAAACATGATACAAGGGCATAAATTGAGCGTGCTGAAGTAAAAGTGTGCAATTAGTAGCTTTTGTTCTTTTTTTTCAATGGCATTTTACTGGCAAGTCCAGTTCTTTTTTCTTACTTGCATAATTGAAATCATTCATTACAGCAGGTTTTCAGATGAGTTCATTTTCTAGGACTGCCGACAATGACTAATTTTAATCCAAAATGTCTGAAAGATATTTGCCATATCTGGTAAACATACAGGGGAGTGTCCTCTCAAAAGTTGATGAAATTGTGTTGTTGCCTTCTGTGTAAAGCAAATTCCCTGATTTTGGTGTAATGTTTCCTCAAAATAACCATGTAATGTAATTACTGTTGTTTTTTTCTTGATGTCATCTTTGTATCATGTTCATGTGCTAAATCTCTATGAGAAAGATAAATATATGGCAGTTGCCAAAGTAAAGATAGAGAAAGATCTCATATGTTATGGTTTGCCTGTAAGCCATCATTTCACAGTGTATTGCAAGCCATATTTTGGTATGGTTAAACCACTGGGGATCCAACCTCTACAATCTAATCATTTAACTGGGAAACCATCAGCATGATAACTTGTCATGTACCTTTTTATTCATCATGTTTATATGACGTTATATGATTTTTAACAAACATCGAACATGGTGAAGAATTTCAGTAAAACTGATAATATTTGCATGCAAGAGCAACAATCATGTAAAGTCCGACAAAACATTCTCACAAACCTGACCTGTGACTGAACACAAATGTCATATTAGGACTTAATAAGTTTCTAGTATTGCATTCTTCTTTTCCATTACAGCATCTTCTTTGATTTATGAATCATTGTTATTAAAACTAAACTGTCTGAAAATGAATGGAACGGTGGTAGTGGTGTTTTCATGTTGTCTATAGTGGGAGCCTATGACTATTAGTGCAGAGCATCCCTGCATCACCTATGATCACTGTTCTAGTAAATAACCCTGTCATGTCTATAGTAGTACATGTATTAGCACTATATATAGTAACAGTTCTGCTTCTATTGGTCATTGTATACACTTAATTATCATGTCATCTGCCTGATGCTGTTGCATATATACTATAGCTTTACTAATGTTATTTACTCTATATTACAAGCAGAAAGTTGGCCTTGTAAGTATACCTATTATATGTAGTCACTGCTGCACTACTAACCTGCTTATGTGGTGATGGAGCTTACTCAGGCAAGACCACTTGTATTTCTTGTTCAGGAATTATCAATCTTTCAGTGCATAATTTAAAAACAACTCTTTCTTTTTTTCATAATTTTAAATGGATATGGCTGTGTTAGATTAGTAATTTGTATAACAAATATTTTACACAGTATTTGACTAATTCATATATATTTTAAAATAAATTATTTAATTTTTTGAACTTCAGTATATGTTTCATGCAGTTTAGTGGCATGGAGAACTTGAAACAAAACTGATTACTAGTACTCTTAAGAACAGTATAAAATATATAAATTTCTTGCACTTGTTCTCATTGCAAATTGTTTTGGAAGGCAAATAAACAAGAAAGAAATTGGTCTTGCCTTAGTTTAGTATTAGATGTCTGTTTCTGCATAAAAATCACCTGCTGTCACTTTGTATTTCACAGGTGTTCCAGCAATATTCATGATAAACAATACTGGGTGAATTTTAAACATTGTTAAGGAAACATTGGCAACAATTTTGTCATTTTGTACTGAAATGGTAAGTCAGCAACAGAAATTAACTAGATATGTCTATAAATTTACTTGTTTCCAGATGCAGCACAGATTTTGTTTGAATCACTGATCTGGATGAAATAGTTAGGTTACTAATATCTGAAAATCAAAGGGCAAGAACAAAATTACTTTCAGGTAATTTCCGTCTCCTGGAAGACAGACAAGTTAATACATTGACATTTTACAATAATGACAGAGGACAAATAACAAACTTAAGATTTGAATTCACATAACATTAGTTAAAGCATTTTGTTCAGTTTAACAGAAACAAATCTACTACACATGCTATAGGAATTGGTATATGCTTGGTATCTGGTCCTTGCAGTGAATCAAAGGATTTCTCCTGCTTAATGTACAAATATACAATGCTGTACATGTGTATATGTAAATGTATCTGTGTTTGTGTGTGGGATTGTAACATGCATAAAGCCTGCAGAGTGATGAGCTGCAATATTTGTTGAAAAATATGCAAATTATCAACTATCTGACCTCAGACCCAAATTAATTATTTGTTTAACGGAAAGTGCCAGTTGAGTTCTTTCCTAATTGAAAAGAAATGTCTCAAACAGATTACATGTTTCTTAGTCCATTGCCCAAGCAGTTGAGAACACTATTAATGGCAGAAAACACTCACTGAGATTGGTGAACTGAAGGAACAACGATCTTGGTGTTTTTGCAGTGTAAGTAAACTTAGGCTCAGTATTATTCGTTACAACTTACACTGCTATATTGAGTCTAACAAAACCTAGTAGAACGTCGGTCAGCTAACCTTTGTGTGACCTATGACAGTCCAATCAAACACGAGACGGCCGAACGGATTTAACCAATCAGACAACGGCTATTTGTTAGGGTTCGGCGGGACTTACAAAACGTTTTTTGGATTTTCTCTTCCCTGGTCGCTGACACTGATCTATCAACAAACGAAAATCCGCATGAAGCACAGATATTTGACCTGCTATATACGCTTTGGGGTTTCTAATGACATGGTTACTATTAGCTTATATTTCCGCAAGATGACATCCTTAAATATTGACAAAAACGCTATTTTCAGTGATTGTTTACTGATTGCGTCCTCCATGTGTATCACTTGGAAGCGATTGTGTTGAAAATAGCATTCTGAATCATTCGATTTTTTTAGGTAAAGGTTCAAACAGTATGTGCAAATGTGAAATTTTGCGATTTGGTAAGCTGTGTTCTGATTGGTCAGTCCAAAAGGTTAGCAGACGCAACCTTCTACTAGGTTTTGTTAGACTTAGTATAGCAGTGCAACGAATAATACTGAGCCTAAGTTTACTTAGACTGGGTGTTTTCGTACATTTTTATATTTCTCACTGACATTTCTTCTTGCATTATATCAATATACTTTAGTGTAACAATTGTGAGGGGTCCTCAGTCCTTGTCTTGGAGTATGAGTGAGATGTCTCACGATGACTCTATAGGTGACCTATCATCCTGTGCTCTCAGCTTGAATACATCGTAATCAGTATTGTGAAAATGGAAGAGTTGAATATGAGACCATTTGTTAGGTTTCTACATTTCAAGATGATGAATGTTCAAGAGTTAGGAAACATGTTGGCCTTCTTCCTGGGAAACAAAACAATGATAATTGAAAACCCTGACTTTCTTGATCATCAGAATTATTATGGTATAGGATTTATAATGCTTATAGTTGCTGGCTGTTGAGTACTTGTAAACATCCTTCTTTTATTTTCTCCCATTCTCCTGCATTTAGACATTTTCTCGAAAACAGGTAATTACTTCGGACTGTAGATTACTTTGTTATCATAATATGTGGTATTTATGAAAACCACAGTATTATTTTTTGGTAATATATGCAAACAACAATACAGGAGATTAAGTATATGTTTGTATGTTTGTTTTGTTTGATCATGATGAGATAGATATATAATGTGTGAATGTACACCATCTAATAGCTCATTATTATGTTTGTTGCTACAAGTGTAGACTCAGGTTATTTAGGGATTTAGTGGAGAGCAAACATGGAAAGATATGCAACACCCTAACAAATAGCTCACATTGCAGTACCTGACAAGGCAGATGTTGGAGCATGTGAACCAAAGACACTCAGACTGTACATGTGGTATGCATGTTTAATTGGTTCACATGGTCCATGCCATATATTTCCCACACTAACCAGCTAGTGTATACATATCTGTGTGCTTGCACTGGAGCCAGGTATCACTCCCATAGCATCTGGACAAGTACTGACACATACCTACTGCTACACATGCCACTGTGTGCTGCTGGTGCTGCCTGCATGTCTGCTGCCACCACACCCATTGGCAGCGGAGCTAGACTCACATCACCGGTTCCTTGTACCTGGACAGTGAGAGGGGCTTAACTCTGCTTGGAACAGGATTTCCGGTTATTTCATGGCATGTCAGCTTGACATGAGAGGAAAGGCTGGAATGATGTGGGTCTGTGACCTCTCACTCCTGTTGAAACCTGTGAGCAGGGATATGGTGCTGACCCAGAACCATGATCTCTATACAGGGAACTGTCTCATTTGTACACACAGATATTGTTGTTGCCAAACCTACTGATACCAGCAACAATGAAAGATGACAGTTATTGTGAAATTGAAAACACCTCCTTCACAAGTTAGACATTGTTAGAAAGTTCAAAATATTAGATATTCTACCTTCAATAAATCCTTCAGACATACTGCTTTGAACCTTGATTTTGACTTCTTAGTTTAACACTCACATTTGTTTTCATCCAGTGTCCATTGTTTTCTTTAAACAGTCTATCCAAGTCACAACATTTACTGATCCCAGTCTACGTGCATTAATACATGCTTTCGTCAAATGGTATTGATTTGAAACAATGTGTTGTAAATAACATGATTATGATGATTAACATGATTGATGGGATACTAGTTGTTTGATAGGCATATTGTTTTTAATAAATACTGTCAACTTTTAACGTGTTTTAAGGACCTTTGTTTTTGCATGTGTGTGTGTAACTGTTTATGTTTGTGTGTGTGTTTGTGACACTACTGCAAAATCATCACAATAAGTTTTGGTAGTGGAGATTATTAACCATCACTTTCAATAGTCATTGTTTGTTCACATGATCAAATTAAATTTGCATGTAGCAGAGCCACTGTACACAGGACAGGTACCTGTGTTGGTAATCTCACTTGAACAAACACATTCATTCCACCCAACAAATTTTGCTTGGTTGCCCTGACAATATGTTCATGTCGAATGTACATCCATCCCTCTCTTTAACATCCCACTGAATACTTTCATGTCTGCATCATTACCGTCCAAATAATAGCTGCATGTTTCACATTGGATTTTGCATGTTCGTGGTATTCTGTTTGTATCATTTTCAACGTTCATTGGATTTTGTAATTATCTTTAAGTTATAGCTGTTGATGTCATGGGAATTTGTCAAACTGCCTGCTCGCCAGTCAGACATTTGTATTGTCTCAATACTAATCCTTAGTCATGCTAAGGGCTATGTTGTCTTTTCATTCACCTGGCTTAAAGTCAAGTGGGTATATGTAGTGGCCTGCTTGTCTGATGTCTGTCATGCATTCTAAACATCATCTAATCAGAAACCATTGGACCACTGAAGCTAAAACCACTCACGTTGGTTCCCACCTGAATTTGTTCAAAAGACTTGAATCGATTTTCAGTATGGCCACAAAGCAGTCATATTGAAAACCTCTTTATTTTTGTTAAAAATGTAATGAAGTTTAGTATTGTGTTCTTTGCAGTGTAGGCTCAATGCATATCGATATGTTCTGTTTATTGTTTTCATTTGGGTTTTTGGTTGTTATTTTTGTTTCAATATTTTATGTTAAATAAGGCATTTGTCATGGTTATTTGATCTTAACACCTTTCTCCTGAATTCCCTCACATTCCTCTCTGTACACAATATCACGTCAGAAACTGCTGATAAAGTTAACATTAATATGAATCTCATAGAGTGAAAATCAGAAAGACAAAAACGTGATGGCATATTCAGGGGAAAGGGAATTGAACTCTCACAGTCTGAGCCCAGAACTCTTTTTCTTTAGCAATCCCAAGCACTTTTCTCAGTAGGTTTGTAATATTATTCTGTGGACTATTTTTAACAGTATTTTATACTAAACAGAATTATACCACTCTCAGGCATTGCTCTTGTGGCTTAGGTCAGACTGCTGTTCAAATATTAATGCTCTTATCTTCATGATAAGTGACTACTTTGGCATCACAAGGATGTCCACTGAAATTAGACATGGATGTATAGATATAATAATGATAATGACTATGACATTTATATGGAAGGCACAACATATTCGTCCAGACAACATATTCGTACAGACAAAATGTGTACAGGCAGCTGTGGTGTAGCCTACTGCAGCTGACTGATGCAAAACACATTCACTCATATTCATTTAGTTATTACATCTCATCAGTGGCCCAGGCATCTAAGGTGCCAGAAGTAACTGCAGATTCGCATCCCTAGACCTATGCACACGGACTGGGAAAGGCAGGGGCCATGGGCCATTTTGCACATTAGAATAAAAAATGACCCATTAAAATTTTGAAGTTTACCATTGATACAAGGGTTTTGGCCCATTCTATATTCAGAAAATGGCTAATAATCCTGAAAATGGCCATTTTCAAAGTTTTCTATCCCAATCCCTGCATGCACATGGATTTCACAACATTCATTAAATTTCTAACCCCAGCACAGGTTTGGACGTTCCTCAAACATGAAACCGACACTTCTTATCTATTCCCTAATGATAAATGTTAATAGAGAGTTTCTGGATTCCAGTGCTATAGAAGACCTGAAGAACCCCACTTGATTTTGAACTTCTAGTATCATACCTGTAATGTTTAAGATGATTGATCAGTTGAAACATGTTTTACAAGACTTCATTGTTCACTGATGTTAGTTAACATGGTTAAAGGAAGTGTAAATTGTACTTGTCTCATTGATGTAATATATTTCTTGTATGAATTGCATCACTAACTGGCATTAATAAGTTCCTATTAATGATGTATGAAATCATATTCAAAATAATACAAATTCTTGTACTAATTTTGTTTCCTTGTATTTTCAGCATCCTTCTATGGAGAGAGTTACATCCGGGTGCCATTCCAGGAGGCATCCAAATCCTCTGAGATTAAACTCTACTTCAAGACTCACCGCCCACATGGCTTGCTCCTTCTTGCAGCAGGGACCACAGACTACTTTGCCGTGGAGCTCAGGTCCGGCATTGTCAAAGTCAGGGTCAATCTGGGCTCGGGGGAGGCCACGGTGCAGTCCACCCCGGGCCTACGCTTGGACGATCTCCAGTGGCACTTTGTGCACATAAACCGTACTCAAAGCAAAGTGACGCTAAATGTGGACAATGTTGTTTTGAACACGGTTGAGACCCCAGGATCATACCATGAGCTGAACATTGAACATGGGATATTTCTGGGGGGCATTGGGACTTTCACTGATGTGTACATCGGAAATTTCCCCAACTTCCGCGGGTGCCAAAGAGATGTGTATTTCAATGGCTATGACATTCTGAGGCAGGCAAGACTTCTTAACAGCCCTCTGTACACGTTTGAGATATTCTGGGATTGTGATGATGAGTTTGATGCTGGTTCATACAAGCCTATCAGTTTTAACACAGAGACATCATTTGTGGCGTTCCCTCACCTGCATATACGAACAGAAGGAACATTTTCATGTGACCTGGTGACAAAAGCCGACAATGCTATTGTCCTGTTTAATTCAGGCAGAAGGTCGTCAGCTCAAGACTTCATTGCAATAGAAATACTGAAAGGGAAACTACAATTATCCATCAACAGTGGGAGTGGCATAATATCTGTACCATCAGACATTGTTGTGAATGATGGTCTGTGGCATCAGGTTGATATGACCCTGACAACAACGACAATGGAGTTGTCTGTCGATGAGGTGAGACAAGAAACAACATTCAACCTTGGTGATAACCAGTACCTGAATCTAGCCGGACATATGTTTGTAGGTGGTCTTGGACTCAAGGCAAGAACACATGCCATAAAGATAGGCCTGGAGTCATTGCAGGGTGACCGAGGAATGAAAGGGTCAATGACTGGATGCATAAAGAACATTGTTGTGAACAAAAGAACTTATGGGTTCAGGGATGTTCAGATTTCTCGACTTGTTGATCCTCAGTGTTCAGGACGTTTTCCCTGTGCACCTGAGCCATGTATTGAAGGTGCTAATTGTGTGGAAGTTAACAAGGAAGACTTCCAGTGTGTCTGTGATAAGACTGTGTGTACCAAAGAGACACCAGATAAAATCCCTGGAGTTGTCTCCAGCAATGATCCCCGTGAAGTGCTAGCCATTGAGGAGTTGAAGGTTCAGGAAGGAGCAGAGGCCCCAATTACCACCAACATTATTGATGTGATATTTGATTATCAGGCCTACAGGCTGAGGGAGTCTGCCATAATGTTCCATGTGAAAGTAGCCCCTCAATATGGACGTATTGATGTCAACTTGCGAAGGAGAAGGAATGGTGGAAAGTTCACACTCCTTGATCTGATTGGGGAAAAAATCTCCTATATTCATGATGGAACTGATACCAGAAGTGATGATGTGACTCTTGAAATGACCATATCCTCAGATAGCCAAAATGTACCTGAGAAATACAAAGGAACATTTGCTTTTGTTGTGCCAATTAAGATAATACCAAGGAATGACCCGCCAAAGATTATCGTTCCCTCGGGAAATGTTATTCAGGTCATTGAACGTTCAAAATTCCAGATGACAAAATTGGTCCTTGACGTTATAGACCCAGATTCTGATCCTTCTAATCTGGAATACTCTGTAACCTATTTGAGGCAGGGAGGTGGATATTTTGAAAAGTCCAATGCAACTGGACAAAGACTGAAGACGTTTACTCAAGCTGACATCAATACAGGATTGATCTGGTTTGTACATGAGGGTCAGGCTACTTCTTTCCTGCGTCTGAAAGCAAGTGATGAGTCATCAAACAGTGATGCTGTTGATCTTCGATTTACAGCTGTAGATATGAAGCTTGAAATTACAGCCAATTCTGGCATATTTGTATTTCATGGGATGTCCAAGCTTATCCTTCCTGAAAACCTGACCACTGTTACCAATGTCCCTTCTCAGCAAATTGAAATCAGGTACCGCATATCTCAACAGCCGAAGTATGGAGAAATTCAAAGACGACAACATGGTGATGAGGAGTGGACACCAGTAGAAACCTTCAGCCAGAGACACATTGACAAGAAAAGACTGCGATATTCTCAGACAAAGTTTGGCCAATTTCCAACTTCAGACAGTTGCATGTTTACAGTCACAGCAAAGGATGTCTCTCTGAGTGACACAGTGTTCCAGATTGTTTTCCAGACTGTGACTCTGAGGCTGCAGAACATTGCAAAGTTGGTTGTTCTACACTCACCTTACACCATCCTGAAGAGTGAACACTTCCTGGCTGTTGCTAATACTGAAATTCCAGCTGACAGAATCTTCATATCTATCATGAGACCCCCAAGTCAAGGTGGACTGTATATTTTCAGAAACCCTGTCCGAGATGTGACTGAATTTGATCAGAGAAGATCTCTAAAACGCAACTCTAACTTCACCCAACAGCAGATAAATGACGAAAAGATCTATTTCAAAGTTTACAAACCATCCTTCAAGAAATTTGAAGATTTCCTAGATTTGAAGATATCATTTGCTGGTGCAGAATCTATTATGACCCGCTTCTTGGTGGAGTACATACCAATGAAAAGTTCAGTCAGATTTACCAACAATGGTTTGAAGAATGTCATCGAAGGTGGTAAAAAAGTAATTGAAAAAGATGATCTGTTTCTTGAAATGGACAATTATAGAGACTTTCAATTCTCAATCATGACACCAACAAAACACGGAACTCTTAAATTGGTAGACCCAAGATCCCATGCTGTGGTTGCCGATGATATCTCCAGGTTTACAACAAAAGATATCCAGCTGGGGAAACTGACCTACCAGCACGATGATTCTGAACACAGTGAGGATTCCTTTATGTTCTCAGCTGCCCCTATAATTAACACAGCAGACAAAGCCATGGAAATTCAGGAATTTTCTGGGACGTTCACAATACATATTCGCATGAGGAATGACAACCCTCCTGCTATTCTAATTAACAAAGTGTTCCATATAGTAAAGAATAAGGAACGCTTGCTTACAATAGATGACCTTGAAGCAATTGATCCAGACATTGAATATAATTCTGACAATTTGAAGTTCACCAGAAAAGGGATGAGAAATGGAGAAATCCTTGATTCCAAAACTAAAGAACCAGTGTTTGAGTTCTCCCAAGAAGACCTGAAAGAGAAGAAATTAGTGGTGAAGCATCGAGGAGCTGAGAGTGATCAGGCAGCAATATTCGTTACGGATGGACAATTTGTGAAACCCTTCCTGTTCCAGATCCGTGCTTCGGATCCGTACATCAAAATCATCAACAACACTGGCATCAAGGTCCAGAAAGGCAGTTATGCTTCACTGACTACAACAAATCTTAGTGTGGAGACAAATGTTGATGTCACACCTGAAGAAATCAACTTCGTTTTAACAGAAGAACCATCAAGTGGTCACTTGAGGATAAGGGGAAAATGGTCTCTGAGTTCACCTTTGCAGACATCATTGCTGGAAATGTCAGGTACTGGAATGATGGGGGTAAGGAAATGGAGGACAAGTTTAAATTTGCTGTTCTTGCCAAAGAAGCTAGGGTCAATGGAGTTTTCCCAGTGATGGTCTTTCTTGAAAGTCAAATGCATCCTCCGGAGATAGTGCATAACAGATTTCTTGAGGTCCCCGAAGGTTCCAGTGCCACAATCACCAAGGGACATCTACATGTAGTCCATCCAGCTGCTCTGCCCAAAAACATTGTGTTCACTATTGAAACTCTTCCATCACATGGAGATCTCAAGATTAAAGGTAGAACTGTTCGAAACCTGGCCCAAGCAAGATTTTCACAATCTGATATTGATTCTGGGCTTGTTGCCTATGCCCCTAGAGAAGTAAATTTCTTGACTGATAAAATTGTATTTGAGGTCACCAATGGTATTCAAACATTAAGTAATTTGGAATTCTTCATAGAAATTGTACCAGCACATCTCCCTCTGATTGCTAAAAACCTTACAGTAATCGAAGGTGCGAGAATTCAACTGACAAACAAAATGATAAGTGTGAAAGGCCGATACTTCATGGGAAAAGAAATCATCTACAAAATTGTAGTTCAACCTTTGCACGGATGGATTGATTCAAATGACAGGGAAGGGACACGTATAAACAGGTTTACATCTTCAGACCTTGCCAACAACAAGGTCTCCTATGAACACGACAATGATGAAAGCCTGACAGATTCATTCTCAATGATTGCTCAGATGGCTGACAACAGCAAGAGAAGCCTTCAGCAGGCAGTGTATGTGAATGTGATTCCTATCAATGACAAGCCACCCCGTGTGGTGGTGAACAAGGTCCTGGAAGTGTGGAAGGGCTCGACTACAGTCATGAGCAACCGCAGTCTTCTTGCTGAGGATCCAGACTCCCCAGTCTCGGAGATCACGTTCATGGTGTCTGATGTCTACAGTGGCCATGTGGCGTACATTAATGACTCTTCACTTTCCATTAAAGAGTTTACTCAAGAAGAAGTTGATAAAGGACTTGTTGTTTTTGTTGAAACAGGTAAAAGTGTTTATTTTTTCTGTCAAGTTTTCATCTACTATAGAATTTAGTTAAACTTTTAAGTACAAAATTTGTGTAGAATTAACATTGGGCTTCCATGAGTAATGGTCAGCCCCATTTCATGAATTACAATAGACACATATCACTCCTACACTGCATAGTGAACGTATATATATGTATTGAAAGATGAAGAAAACTGCAGACATGCTTGTGAAGTATTGAAGTCATAGGCCATTTATAGGTCCATCATGATCACTTGGACATCTACTCATTACAATCCCTAATCAGTTAAAAAATGACAAGCCAGTATTTGTTTTCTAGTTATTTAATATTCATTTGCACTTCAAATCTCATTCACTTTTAACAATCTGATTTATTCACTATAACATAGTTATAAACAGACACCAAACATACAGTTAACAACGCACTATTGATGATGAAATATGCCTTTGGAAACATCAAAACATAAGAGTTGTACTGTAAATGTTTTGAATGTTTAGGTATATGATCAATTGGATGTGGTTAAATGTTCTACAAGATGAGTAATTGTGATTTCCTGAGTCAATATGTCATGCACTTTGGACATTATCACTATTATTATTAGTTAAAGAAGTAGTATTCTTGTTATTGCAGGTGAGGATGATGGTGGCTTCATGTTCCAGGCTACAGATGGTACTAACCTGGACACTACCCATCAGTTCAGGATCAAGACCAAACCACTTATACTCACAATGCAGGTGAAAAATGACCTGCAAGTTTTCCCCAACACTATGCATCCTATTACTGCAGACGTCTTGTATGCTGTCACCAGTGACAAAAACTTTAAGAGCATTATGTTCAGCATTACATCGCCGCCTCAGAAGGGAGAAATTGTCAACTTGGTCAGTGGACGGCCTCAGAGAGTGTCCTCGTTCAGTCAGGAGGACATTGAAAGGAAGAGGATATTCTACAAGCATGCTGGTTACATCTCTGGGTGGTCCGACTCTGATCAGTTCAGGTTTAATGTATCCACAGCTTATGCTCAGCCTCTTCCTGAAGCAATGAGAGTTGACATTTCTTACGGGAATATCAACACAGGTAATGAGAATACATTGCTGAGAGTGTCCAGAGCTGTGGTGGATGAAGGTAAGGAAGTGGCACTTAGAAAGGAAAATTTGGACCTGACAGAGTTGGAGATGAGACTGAGACAGTTTGGCAGAGGCCTCAGTGTTGATTACGTCCTGATGAGTTTACCAAGACACGGTGTGCTTTATGAACATAGGAGGGAGCTGCAGCTCTTTGAAACTTTCAGTCAGTCTGTATTGAACCAAGGCTTGATAAGATACAAGCATGATGATTCAGACACTACTGAAGATTCCTTTGAGTATGCTGTGAGGATTCAGAAACCTCTAGGCTCTGTTAGCCTTGCAGATAGTTATGTTACCAACTTTACAATAACTATCAATCCTATCAATGACCAACCGTTTAAATTAGTGACAAGAAATCCACATGTAAGAGTGGTACAGGGAGATTCAAACAACATCACAGGAGAAAATCTGAAAACAACTGACCTTGACACACCACCAGATGGCATTGTGTACAATATTGTTACTGGACCTCAAAATGGCAAGCTGATTTTCTGGGACTTTCCCAACATTAAAATCACAACCTTCACGCAAGCTGACTTGGACAAGGGAAGATTGCTGTTTCAACATGATGGCTCCAAACAACCAGGAGCCTTTTATTTTAAAGTTTCTGATGGAAAGTTTTCACCTTATTACAAGATTTTCAACATCCATGTTATTCCACTGAAGATTGAGGTTCTTTCAAACAAGCCTGTGGAACTGGTACAGTCACATTCATCTGTGTATGTCACCACTAAATACTTCAATATCACAACCAATGGCCATGTGGACAACATTTGGTATGAGATTACAAAAGGGCCAGAATATGGCAAAATATACTTTCAGGATAGTGGCACCAAGACATTTTCACAGGCAGATTTAGACAAGAATGTCATTCTCTACATCCAGAAGGACATGACCGCAGGGGCTGACTTTTTCATGTTTGATCTCTACACAAAAAATATTGATTTCCGTTTGCGTGATCAGCGAATTGACATCACAGTAATTCCTCTGATTAAACAAGGGCCTTTTGAAGCTCCTGCAGGCTCTACAACAGCAATAACTGTGTTCAGTCTGGATGCTAGTGAACTTGCTAACATAACCGGGGGTAACGCAACATTTGATGTTTCAGACCCTCCAAAACATGGCAGTATTGTGAGGACAAAAAGCAGAGGAAGGAGAGCCTTAAATTCAGATGATTATGCTGAGGTGGATTCATTTACCCATGAGGATGTCATTTATACAAAGGTGTATTACGTTGCTGACGTACCGTATGATCCGAATGTCAGAAGTGATAACTTCAGCTACAGTTTGCGAGCTGCCGGCGTTCAGCCTGCAGAAGGAGTGTTTTCTGTTCGGCTTGAGCCCCCTGAACCTGAAGCCGTGACTAAAACGCCCTTCCGACCACATGTGACACCAAGATATAGGGATCGAGACCCAGGAGGTGGTGGTGCAATCCCACCAGATGAAGATGAGGAACCTTCAACAGATAATTCAGAAAAGGAGTCCGACCCAACCTCGAAGGAAGCTAAGAATCCTAACATAAGCAATGACTACATTATTGTGGCAGTGGTAGTGAGCTTAGTATTACTCATTGTAATTATAGCTGTTGTAATTGTGTTGCTGTTGAGGTGGAAGAGAAGGCGGGATATGGTCCGAGAGGAGACCAAGACTCGACCTAAGCCTCGGCCGTATATCAGTGGCCCACTACAGCTGGAGCAGCCCCATGTTCACATTGAGCCTCAAGTGGAATCAGTCCCTGGAGGGTATGACCAAGCTGTGACCACAGGACACAATGCTGCTAGTAACATCCCAGTCATTAATGTATCACACGGACAGGACTTCCAAGACAAAAATGTGTCCTCTCCTCCAAGGTCACCAGATCTGAGTCGACAGGAGGTCAGTAAGACTGTGCCTGCATGTAAGGTTACACCTTTGATTGAGATCCCTGAGTCCACCACAGAGGATGCCAGTGCAGAAGATAGTCTCAAATCTACAAGTGGTGAATTGTTTAACTTTGACTGGAACTTGATGGATCCTGACCTGCTTCAACACTGTAGGACAACTACTCCAGTATTAAGAAAGAATCAGTATTGGGTGTAATGGTAGAATTCACAATCATGTCTGCTAGTCACAAAAGGGTTTATTTGTCAGCGGCATTATTGAAGTGATCGCAGATATAGGAGAATGCATATTTTGTTGTGAAATAATCAGGGTCAAATTTGGTGATCTCGGATTAGTGGACTTGCCCTTCTTTGGAACTCTGCAGTGCATTGTTTTCTTGGAACTGCTGCAGACTTGATGATTGGTTGATGGATAAAGTGATGAAGTGTGACAAAAAGCACAAAAATATAAATTGGTCGCCATGGTAACCAGGATGATGACAGTTACAGTTTTATAGATCTGAGTTCAAGCATCACAAAGGATTGTTTGTGTGGTAGTTTGAGTCTGTAAGGAACAGAACTGACAAGTGAAGATTTGAAGATTAATCATGTTACAATAAAAAAGACTGACTTCTCGAAACTTCTCCACTAGTCTCAGTAACCATAGCAATGTTAGTGTGCCTCCTAGTGATAGGTCTGTGCAGATTTCAACAGTTTTTTGATGCAATATATTCACATTTTGGAGTTACGATTTGTGTAATCATCATCTAGTGTTTAGCTTCCTGATCAACTTCTGTAAAGTTGCAGTCATCTATTGTTTGTCTTATGCCAGAGTTGTCAAACTTGCCAATGGTGTGTGTATACATTCCATATGTATCACATGATTGAATGTTGACATAAATATGTTTAAAAAAAAAATACCAGTAATCATTGTAATAATCATTGTAATATAATAATAGCCTTCTTTTGTAAAGTGCAAGAACAGTGGACATTTCATCTGTTCAACCTTCAGTCATCATAAAAAGTTTAATAATACTGTTGGTACAAGCCCTCATGCAAACAATGTGCTTCATTTTATTATTGTTGAAATATCTTTGGAATTTGCAGTATGTGACTTTAGCCTGAATCCGTTATCTTTAGTAATCTCAGCTGATATTAGTCTACATTATAGCACAACAATCTACAGCAAATGATCTTAAGAGCCAAGCTTTGGTTAGTGAATGTATTTGGCACAGACTGGATATCTGCTGCCAGGTAGGTAGATCTGTAGAATACAGCACTGTTTTCATCATGTGACAAATAGTGAACAGACAATTTGGTGTTAATCAATCCCTTTACACAACAGACAGCCTTTGCCCTGTTGATAGGCAGACAGGTTTATATTGCTTCTGTAGAGGTATACCTACTTCCGATATTTAATATGATGTTTATTATACACATGTTATATAATTGCAATGTAGTTAAGTTTTGTAATCAATTAAAAGCCATTGAGATTGAGTCCACACTCTTTCTATTTTGTGGTCAGTGGTTCAATGAAACAGATGAGTAGAAGGTGAAATCAGAACGAATATTTGTTTATATGAAAATAGTGGCATTTTGTGTGAGGGAAAACAATGAAATTATTTTTGAATGTTTTCAGCTGTGTAATGTTTAAGTTTGTCAAATTGAAACCTTGAAAAAATGCTGGATATAATGTTTGGTGTATTAACTTGTAGATTACATTAAAAGTAGTATTTGCAAAGAGGGACATGTTTTTGAACAATTCTGTTTTAGTTTGCAAATAATGCTCTTTATATTCTTTTGGATATTTTATTACATGCACTGAAAGCAGACTGTTTTAAGGTCAATTACTTCCTGTTACTATTGGCAACCAGACATGTTGCAGGAGTACCTTATTCAGCGGAATGGTGCCAACATTTTACAGTTTCATCTTTTGAATGTTTTAAATGAGCAAGGGTATATTTTAAGCTCAAACCCTCCAAAACCAAGTGACCAACTGTCTCGCAACATTATCAACTCATTGAATGGCTTATGGCACTTTAAGGATATGTACATGGTAAGGCAAACATGTCATTACTGGCACATCCAGCATGTTACAACCTTTGTATTCAACATGTGTGACAAAATGGTTTGTTGACGTGTCCACTTGGTTTGTATTGTTTTTCTTGCTGTGGCTTCATCGTACTATTGCAAGACAGAATCATGCCAGGATCTGGATGATTGACGCCAGTATTTTCAAGTCTTACATTTTGTTGGACCAACTGACATTTTTCATTAATGTATGTAAGATCTTATGTTTAGTGGTGTAACTTTGCTTTATATTTGTCTATTGGCAAGGGAATGAGTGTTATGCAAAATGGACATAATTGTGTTACTCATTGATGGGAATGAATTGTTTCTTGTTACCATGGTCACCATGTTCAAGGTATTCAGCACCTTTGCTGCTTTGTAGATTGACGAGTTTGTGTTTAGAGATGTATATTCAATGATTGTAACATTTACAAAAGCACAATCATGATTGTAAGGCTTTACTGTCTTATCAGAGCTACAGTGGTCTTCATCCAACTTGGCCAAAACTTAGATTTAATAAATCAAGATAAAGGGTACACACTTAGTTAATGACACTATTTGCATTTACTCATGGAATACTAAATGAACTACCGGAAAATTGTTATAAACATGAGTATTTGATACATCATATTAAATTTAATATTTTGCCTAAATTCCTTTTCTGAGAATTTAAAGACTTCAGGATTTGAAACATTATCTTTTTCTTGATGTTTGAGACTGCTATTTTTGTTAAAAGTTCAGAACAACGCAAATGAGCATTCTTTACAGTCACTTTCAGTGTGTAGCACATTGCATTTTCACTTTGTGATTGTACATACTGATGAATGGTACTAATGCGGTTAGATCTGTGCTGAAAGCAGTCTCAGAACATATTGCATAGGTGTGATGGTACATAGTCTGCATCTGTGTGTAGTTATTGATGTGAACCAGCAGAGGTTGTGTGAGCAGTAATCTACACTGAAATACCAGGACCCAATTTGTGTTTAGACAACTTCAACATGTCAATGCTCTTATGTCACACAACAATCTTGCACACTGATTCTACTTCCGAAATGTTGGTTATTAGATCTATACATATGCAGAGTCTGTCACATCCGTAAAACTTAAGGAATTGGGTTCTGTTGATTAAGTGCTATGGAAGATCACTGGATCCCCTTTAATTTTGAGGAATTTTTAAAAGTTATGTTTTGTGTGTATTCTGGGTGTTGGATATCAGTTGCAGAAAGTCCTTAATTTTGGTTTAATGTGCATGTCATGATACATATAACATGCTTCCACATTGGAAGGAACCTTACTTCTACATTGGATAGATTCTTTGTACTGACTACATGGCCAGATGTACAACAAGGCTGTTGAAGGGCACCTGCTAATGTCTGTAGACATTAGAGATGAGGATAGGCTGATAACACTTGGCTGTCTCAGAAGGGTCCAGCCCTCCTAATGCTTGTAAACGTCTTGATGCAAGCCACATGAGGCTTTGCCAGGATCCCACCCTGCTAAATCTTGATACCAGCCACACATGAGGCTTTGCCAGGATCCAGCCGTGCTAAATCTTGATACCAGCCACACATGAGGCTTTGCCAGGATCCAGCCCTGCTAAATCTTGATACCAGCCACACATGAGGCTTTGCCAGGATCCAGCCCTGCTAATGCATTTAACTTGTAATGGCAATATGCCATGTTTAGCTAGGATTCAGTCCTTGCAGTAGTTTGTAGATATTTAACATTTACCTGCTAATGTTTACAACACCATGTTTGGGCCTGTATTTCACTGATATGTCTGGAAGTTGTCACAATTATAAACTCAATCTGCCTCTGTCTGAAGCTAGATTCTGGTAATATATATTTTTGTGCTGTAAGATCACTGTTGAAAGTCAGTATACTGAGGCTGAAATCTACAGAAAATAATTACTCAATATAAGTTCCAACTTGAAGACTAAAATATATTTGGTGCAGACTCTGAGCTGGTCTTTTACAGTGCACAGTCGAGTCCTTGAATTAACAAAACCAATAGTTTTACAACTTGATGGCACTCAGCATTTGCTTTGTCTCATTTATTGCAATGAACACCAATATACCTCAAAGGGTATTCCAATATGTTAATTATTTTATTTACCTAAAAGTTTAATAGAAAGTCTGGCATGAATAATGGCTATTGGCCGAGTCATGTTACTGTAAAAACCCCGGGGTTTGTATCAGGAGCAAACAGCAAACAGATTGTGTACCAGTGACATACAGCTGGACAAGAATGTCTCTGTGGTAACCACAGAGTTACCACCCTTGGCCAAGCCAGGATCCACAGGTTTAGAAATCCAGATTGAACCAAATATCATAGCTGCTTTCACCGAACTGTTAGGTTATCACTAAATCCCATAATGTTGGCATAGTATTATCAAAGTGGGTTTTACTTCACCCATCTGAATACCATATGGTCTTGTTTCCGTTCAGTGAATGACCCAACACTCAGATATAACACTCATCAGTGCAGGGTCACAAAGGTCTTAAACTAATATATAATTGTTTTCGTATTTGAGGATGCTCCCAGACTTTTTTGTTAAAGCAAGAGACAAACCATGGTCAATACTTCAGTCGTGTACTCAATATGTGAACCAATCACCTCGTGCGTAAGGTTTATATGCTGGGCAGTGTAAATACATGTTGGTTTTTCAGTCCAGAAAATATTAGTTATGGAAATCAAATAAACTCGACTGTTGCCTGATATTGAAGCAATGTGTACAGTAGCTGGCTGCATGGCACATGCTGCATGAGGAATATTGCACTTTGTGCAATGTTATTTTGCTCTTTGTTTCCTGAAGGGGTGGTGGGGTAGCCTAGTGGTTAAAGCGTTGGCTCGTCATGCCGAAGACCCGGGTTCGAATCCCCACATGGGTACAATGTGTGAAGCTCATTTCTGGTGACCCCTGCCGTGATGTTGCTGGAATATTGCTAAAAGCAGCGTAAAACCAAACTCAGTCAGTCAGTCAGTCTTTGTTTCCTCCTTGGTGGAACCAGGACCTAGCTTCATTCATTGGTTATAAATAGTGATTACACTCCTGCCAATGAAGACACACAAAGACACTGAAATGATTATTAGTTCTGTACTGGAAGGAATATAACGCCATGTTGATACCAAGGTCCAGGTTGGAACTATATGTTTGTTTAACGAAGGGCGCATTACATCAAGAAGACACATTTGTCTGGGTTTTTATGTACTTATTTTGATAAAACATTAAAATTGAAGTGTATAGATTGTACCACTATTGAGAAACAAATGCATTCTTGTGAGCATTATGATCAAAATGTGTTTGACATGTGTTAAACATTGAGGTCAGTTGTTGGGTGAATGGGACGAATGTATGCCCAAAGTGAATACATACCAAAAATTAGATTGTCTGGTCCAGACTTACTTTTTGGGTAATAAATAATAAGATTGACGTTTTATTGTTGGTATGCCACTGAGTGCAGCGTTTAACATCTAACAATCACATAAAACCAGTATTCTGTTTTGAAATGTTTTCGAAGAAAATGATATGGGGAAATAGGAGTCATTTACCAGATAGTTAAGGTATGAATAGACTTACATTTTATGGTATGAATTTGTTTTGGGCATGAGTTCACTGCCTGCCTTTTATCTTGTTTGTAGTTATAACCTGCCTTTGAATACTCATCTATTTGTTGACTTTTGTGAACAATTTGTATAGCACATTAGTTTCATAGTGCTTTTTATCATCTTTTGTGGAATATGCTGTATTGATGCACTGGAGGAATTATTTTGGTGTTAATTATTCTGTGAGTAAATCTTAGCAGAACATGTTTATAAATTAGACATGGTGAATTTGACGGTACTTGTGCTACCATTTTTCTAATTTGTAAAAAGAGTACATATATTGTTGAACTTCTATCGTACTATTGTGGGTTACTGTGAGTGACCAATCATGTACAGATTGCCAAAATAATTGGATTTACACATTGGTGTTTATATGAACACACTTTGGTTCTTTTTCTCTTTACATTTCTTGTGTAAAATTGAAGTTTTAAGGGAGAAACAAAAAGAATTTGTCATTAGCTTATTTTTGAACATTCACACCGTTGATTGAACAGAATTGTATATTGCATAGGTTTTTGATGGTGAATGCAAAACAACAGTTTGACTTGTAGATATGAGCTCTGTAAGTACTAGATATTGTATGACGTTATCAGTGTCTTGTATTTGTCATAAAGCAAGAACAAATAGTGCTGACTGCATTGCTTCATAATGCTGCTTGGAATACAGGTTTCAACACCAGCTAATGTTTCAGTGAAGAATAAGATGTTTTTGTTAAATGTGTGTCTGTCCATTGAATGAGGTCATATCACACAAACTAAGGAACGGTTAACAAAATTGTCTTCATTTGTGTGTGAACCATGCACATTTGAATGCTATATTTGCTTTCTGTACTTCTGCTGTTTTGACTAATGTTGACGGTTGCCTCATGTGTCGCCACTAATTTTCAGTATAATTCAGTTTGATAACATGCATGAACTCAGCCATGTGTTAAACATTAGCTACTCACAACATTTGCTCTCATCCATCTGCTTCATATTCTGAATTGTGAAACAAATATTATTTTTTCCATTATATTCACAAACGATTAGTGCTTTTCAAGGACAGGAACAATGACAAACATATTAGACCACTTACTGGTCTTTCAAACAAGAGCAAATTGTTGAACAGTATGCTATGCCATAATAATATTATTTCTTGTGTGACAAAATTAATGCATTAACATTATAGTTTTAGTACAAGATAATGCTTTGTGCTTCGATACAAGGACAGTAGGTAAGGTCATGTATCAATACAAAACTGTACAAGTGTGTGTATATGAGGACCAGTTCAACAGAATGAAAATGAATTTTATAATACTATTGACATTATGTACAGTTGCATGGTAAAGTTTGAGCCTCTTTTGATTCCCTGTGTTGTCTGAACATTAACAAAGGATAACAATATATAGATGAACAACTTCTTTATTGCAGTGAGAGCGACGTTTCGGTGTAGGTTCTAACACTGTTATCAAGCAAGTCACTTGCAATAAAGTTGTTCATCTGTATATTGTTATCCTTCCTTACTGCTCCAACTTCTAAAAGTTGGCTGAACATGTCTCCTAATCATGGCATGTTGCCTACAGTGTTGCAGATCATGATGACCTTACTGTCAGGGCAACATTTGCCAGTTAACATATCACAACAAAGTGCATTGTTACAGCTCAAATTTAAATCTTTCTTTCGTTCTTTTGCCTAAACCAAATTCAAGTCAGGATCACTGATCATAAACATGTTAACATACTGTCTCATTCTGGTTGGAGTTACATGCCCTTACCCTGCACAAAGTCCAATAGGGATATGGGCCAGCCACCAGATTCACATTGTATAGGTAACAGACAAGGAGGAATCTTTTGGCCTGAGAGGTATCCTCACAGTGTGCATACTAGTGCATCCTTAAACATTATAACACTATTTCAGGAGTTGTTAGAAACATTTACATATCGGCATGCAATGTAGGTTTGATAGATAGAATTAGCTGAGCTAGTCAGTAGTTAAATACCTCATTGTGGATATCTTAAGATGTCACAATATGTGTCAAGTATGTATTTTAGCTAATAGCTGGGTATTTGTTGAAAACATTTCTGATATGAATAACTTTATTGTAGTTGCAATATGAGCATAATGTTGGCTCTTTTTTCATACTGCATAATTTCACAAGTGATATTAGCTAACCTCATTTTTGTGTGTGATTTTGAATCAATTATTGCATACTTAGTACAACTTGCATATGATGTACCCCTGGACATGAATAAACCTACTTAATGATAAAATTAGGTGTTCCTTTTCTTTATGCATCAAGCCTATGTTTAACAATGTTTTACAGTGTATTTTCCAGCTATAACACTGACCGGAAAATATTTGAGTGAGTGAGTTTACTGGTTTAATGCCTGTTTGAATAGTATACCAGAGTGTCAGCTTACTGTGGCTTGAAGGGACTAAGTGAAGCAGGTCTAAGACATTTTCTACTTTGCTCAGCTCAGGTATGATGTTGACAAACCTCTAGACATAAAGGCAAACCGGGATTCAAACCTTTGAACACAGATTACTGACATTCCCAAGGGATAGAATTCAGCATAATAAATTGCAGTGTCGTAGATGACCTGGCCACCCATGCCCCTGAAATTAATGGAGTCCATGCCATGCAGGCACATTGGTTGTTGGCAGTATGGACATGATGCATTGTTTTCAGCTTGGTCATCTGGACATGATGCATTGTTTTCAGCTTGGTCATCTGGACATGATGCATTGTTTTCAGCTTGGTCATCTGGACATGATGCATTGTTTTCAGCTTAGTCATCAGGACATGATGCATTGTTTTCAGCTTGGTCATCTGGACATGATGCATTGTTTTCAGCTTGGTCATGATGCATTGTTTTCAGCTTGGTCATGATGCATTGTTTTCAGCTTGGTCATCTGGACATGATGCATTGTTTTCAGCTTGGTCATCAGGAAGATTAGGACATTCTGACCACTATTGTGCTGGACCCCATTCATACAAAAATACTTATGAAGTATTTAGATGTACTTCTGCCTGTGATCACAAGGATGGTGAATATCAGTCTCACCACTGGTACATTCCCAAATATATACAAACTGGCACTGATACTGGGAATCCTCGTATTTACGCCTTGGGCTTAATTTCGAATTTGACCCATTTCATCTAAGAAACATTTTTTCTGAAATTAAGCCCTGGGCTTAAATTGGCTTAAATTCGAGAGGAGGTAAAATACAACAAAACTTTGATCTTTTTTACTTTTAATGGAACAAATCTTATTCAATGAACAAATTAAATCATCTTTTCAACATAGCTATAATAATTTGAGAGAACTCTTTTAAAATTCAAACTGTTGCATTGAATTTAAATGTTCATGAAAATGAAACGACTGGAGTGAGGTTTCATCATCTGATCCTCATCTGTCAATCTTCATCACCATCTGATGAACTGGAATCCTCGAAAGGGTCGTCACTGAGCTGGTCGTCATCTTACAGTGCAAGACCTGAGTGCGACTGAAGAACATCTTGAAGCCTGGAGTTCAGTTGCTCCAGTGGAACCTGTTCTCTCTTTTCAGCTACACCACACAATCTGAAGTAATTCTGGACATCGTTTGGGAGATAGAAGTTACTGCATCAGATACCATGTTCAGCAAAACTCCGTATGATAGTCTTTTCCTGTTGCCGGCGACAGTGAATTCTTTTACACTATTAATCAACCAGTTCTGCTAATGTCCTCTCATGGCAGCTTTGAATGGGGCTTTAACTCCGCCAGATACATCCAGAGGTTGCAGGTAGGACGTGGTTTTTGGTGGGATTAGATTGGTTGCCACATTCAAGGATTTGAGTGATTTGACGACGGCATCAGTGTAATGGCTCTTGTGGCTGTCCATAAGCAGAAGGGAGGGTCCAGTTGCCAAGAAGCTGCATCGAGCTCTAAAAAACAGATTCAATCCAGGTCAACAGGGCTTCAGTCATTGATCCGCCATTAAAACAAAGTAGACTCCCCAACACTGCAGCCTTCTGCATTACCCAGAGTGTCAGAAGGGTTGTGCTCCCGGTCGAGAACCCAGGCACTCTCCTGATCTGTGCCAAGAGATCAGGGGGTACCAAACCAAGGGCACCAAGAACAATGAGAAGCCTGACGACAGTGTACTTGGGATGCAAGTGAGACATTTCAAAGGCGAGATCCGCATATTTAGCATACTTTTCCTGAACCTTGCCAATCACATTACTGTCAAAAGGGACAGAAAATTCAATGATATAAATAAATTCATTGGCTTTATCAAAAAGGACAAGATCAGGTTTCTTGGCAGGAATTCTTCTGAGGCTGTATGTGGGCCTATTCCACAGAACTTTAAAAGCATCATTTTCCATGACGCCCTGGACATTTTCAGGGTCGTATCATGGATAGACCTCTGAGTCAAAGCCACAGGCATGGCGAAGACGATAGTAGAAACAACGAGCCATGCCATCATGTCGTTTAAGGTATGCTGTTTGTGCCAAGGAAGGGCATACACTGACAAGGTGTTGGACAGTCTCTGTGAATTCATTACATAGTCGACATTTCATATTGATATTTTCTTTAAGAAGCACATTTTGGCGGTTACGAGTGGGAAGTGACTGGTCTTGAGCAGCAAAAAGAAAGTCCTTATTTTCACATTTAAGACCAGTCGACTTCATCCATTAATCAGACCCCGACCTCCCGAACTGATTGGCAGATATAAACGATTGAGAGAGGAACGAGGGTTGTGGGCTCTGTTATCAGACATGATCCTTCTGGTCAGGCGGTCAAGAATCTGGATGTCTTGTTTAGTCGAATCAACTACTCCATAGGAATGGGAAAGGACTGGCACAGCAAAAGTATTTGTGGTTTTGACCTTGTTTCGAGCATTTAGCACTGAGCTCCAGATTTTCTTTAAGCGAGCTTTATACTTGGCCCGTAATTTTTCTTGTATCTAGGCATTCTGGAACTTGTTTCGAACTTGCATTCCAAGACAGGTGTAGGCCTGATCTTCCACGGGATGCTCAATAACTCTTCCCCCTTGTAACCTGACCGATCCATCATTAATTACCTTACCACGTTTCAAATGAAGAGTTTACATTTGTCGAGTCCAAATGTCATGCCAATATAATTAGAAAAGGACTCGACAAGGAGAACCTGCTCTTTCAAATTGGTATCTCCTATGGCAAGGAGCTCAATGTCATCAATGTAAGATGAGTAATTGGTGTTGGGGATCTGTGCTGAGGAGGTCCGAGATGGTAACCCTCCTCTTTATAGAGCAGAAAACTCAAAGGATTTAAAGGAATCCCCCTGGAATATTCACCTTCTGATTGGAATAAATTCCGAAGTCTGCACCTGCCCTTGCGATCACATTTCAAGTTGAGTTGACCAGCAACTCATTAAAGACTAGAGTAAATCAAGTAGTCGCTCAGGGAGGTCAATACAACGCAGAGACTTCAGAATCCATTCGTGAGGGACAGAGTCGTATGCTTTTTTGTAGTCAATCCAGCACATGGCGAGGATGCGGTGATATGTTTTAGCCTCTTCCAAAATCATTTTTTGTACAAGAAGTTTATAAATTATGTCATTAGAAGAGCAGCAAGATAACACGAGGTTTGTCAAACACCCTGTGAAGATTTTATATTGAGTATTCAAACATGTGATATGACGGAAGTTTTGGGGATCAGTCAAGTCTCCTTTTTTGGGGGGGAGGAGTATTGTGCGACCTTTGCAGAACCATGGAGGAACATCACCTGTGTCCACAAGAGAACTGAAACTGAAGTAATGGTGTTTGGACACAGGGGAACAGTTTCCAATACCGGTTTCGAATACCACCAGGCCCTGGAGCTGTATTAGACTTGGACTTTTTGATGACACTTTTCAGGCAATCGGTTATTATGTTTTACACACTGCTCTTTGGAGTCGGTTGGATTGTTATTCTGTTTCACACACTGCTTGTACACACGATGTAACGGTTTCTCAGAAAGCTTCTCCACAAATAACCGACTCTAGAATGAGGTTCAGGGCCCAGTTTTACAAAGTCATCTTAGCTATAGAACTTTTATCTCCTGTACTTTAATTTGGAATTATGACCTGGCTCTGTGAATGCATTTTAATATGAGACCCTACAGAACCATATAGTGATCAATCAAGTGATTAACTTTTACTTGCTGAAAGTAGAGTGACCAGAGTGAGGCATGGACAAGAACAAACATGAAATGAGAATAACAACCTTTCGAAAAAACAGGGGTTCGAATCACTGTTTAGACAATGATGTTTAAAAATAAACATCTAGACTTTTGCAATCGTATATTGTTTTTTATACGTTATGATTAACCTATATTTCAAATTTGAACGAGATCGGTGAAGAAAAATGATTTTTTAAGTACATCAGATACTACCCTTCCACGTTGAACGTTTTGTTGGCATAGAGTTTACAAAATCGGTACTGTTAAGCTACGTCGACGGCAATGAGTTGGTGGATGGGTTACCAGTACAAAATAGTATAATTACTCGGGTTTGAGTCCTGAGTCCCATACGTATCACGGATGATAAGATGTGATGTTTTCTGAGGGTGGTTACCTTGTTCACCCAGCATCGAATGGGTACCCGGTTGTATGATATGACAATGTGAATTCATAACCTTCTAACAAAAAAGACAGACAGCACAGGTTCCATACTCCCCAGGGAGATCCCCCATGGGACTCAACCTAACAAAAGTACTAGAATCTGTACTTTACTGAGAAAGTGTAGTCCCAAATATAACATATCTTAAACTCATAATGCAATTGAAAGATAATGAGGCATAAAGTTTAAGTCAGTAAAGTAATTTATAGTAAATTATAGCATTAGAAAGAGTCGGCGTGTGCATTTCGAAGTCGGATATGAGTTTTATTATGGATAAAGAAGTTGCCATCCATAAAAAATAAATACCCATAGTCAACATTTTTATAGTTTAGGCCGTCTTTAGATAATAGGGTTGAGCCCAGTGTGAGTCCTTAAATTATCTCGCTGTTGGGGGTAGAGGATGTAAAAGTTTCAACTCAGTCCAGTGATTTCAAAATGTCCTTTAATCTCAAGTTCCGAGCTTTCTTACTACACTTCTTCACAATACAATCCACACAATGACAGAATAACAGTACCTAAACATTAATTTGACAATGACTAGACAATGTCTAGACAATGAATGCACAGTGGCTGGACAGTAGCTGGACAGTGGCTGGACAGGTTGAAAAACCGTATGTCCTCTAAGCCCACAACACACAATTCTATAACGCTCTCTTAGAAACTTCCAAAACATGTCTTACTTCTTCAATATCTTAAAGCTCTCTGTCCCTTTCTCACACTCTTTCATTCCACATGTGTCGCTTAAATTCTTGGTCGGCCACTTATCGTGGTTGATCAGGTCAGAACCCATAGGACCCCTCAAAGACAATTAGTCTATGAGTCTTAGTTGCAGTGGTAAATCACAGCTGCCACCAGTCCTGTGAATGTAGCTCGGACATCTGCTGGCAGCAGGGTCTGACAGATTCTTATGTCTCGACTAATTTCTATATACTAGCACATGCAGCCTCTCACGCACAAACCCTAACAAAGTTACAAATATAATATTTTGCATGTACAGCAAATGCCTAAAATTCGGCTCTAACATTCCGGCCCCTAATTGTTACTTATATCTGAATGTAACAATTACCATGAAATTGTATAGAGCGAATTTTTTACTTTAAACAATGTCATCCTAAGCTACATTAGTTGACTTAACAACTAGACGTTATAACAGTGGACATTCTCTCTGAGTTATAATCTTAGTATATTACAGTATGCAAGAACTAATCGAACATATTAGTCGATGCTCTTCGTCTTAACTTCAGACTCGTTGTCAAGTTAAAGTCTCAAAACACAGTTTAAGTGTCACCCTCAAGAAGCAAGCACAGCTTGATGATTGGTCTGTCCAAAACCTTTGTCTGGGTTTTCACTTCGACACGTCTAACAACACCCTTTCTATCTGGCATAAGCTTCACAACTTTGCCCATTGACCAGGAATTTCTAGGTGCTGTATTGTCCACTATGAGCACGATGTCACCAATCTTCAAATTTCTTCTTATCTTCACCCACTTCTGTCGTTCTTGTAGTAATGGCAGATACACTCTTAACCATCTCTTCCAGAACAAATCCGCCATATACTGCACTTGGCGCCATCGACGTCTTGGATATGAACCACCCAAGTCTGGTTCAACTCTGACCTGGTAAAACATGGCTTCAATGTCCGCCATTAGAGCTATTGGTTCTTGGCGAAATCTCAGGAGCACTCCGATTGAGGCATTGGTGAGATCCGGCCCCTGTAGCAGGTGGTCATTTAGTGATTTTCCTCTGTATTCTGCTGCACAGTCAAATACTACTCTTATCTTATCTGGTTTCTTTGGATGGTATACATCATGATGTGGTATGTACCACACCTTCCCATCCTGACGATCTTTCTTACTCTCGGGAACCCTTTGGGCATAATCTTTGTCTAGGAGATCCTTCATAAAGCCTTTGTAATCTCTGTAGAAAGCATCATTCTTCAGAAACTTCTTCTTAAGCGAAATAGCTCTTTCTTTGGCCTGTACTTTATTGTTTGGTAAGTTGATTTTGGAATCTTTGAATGGCAGAGACATCTGGTAGTGTCCTCCTGTTAATCTCTTGGATGAGTTCATTATATCCAAGAAATGCTGATCATTTCTTGACAGTTCTTCTTTATCATTGCTGAGGCGCTCGTTAAATTCTCTGTCGAAGTATCCTCTCAACTGATGATCAAGGGACTCGTCTGCTAGAACATCAGTTCTGTTGACTGAGATCTTGCTGGGAGATTCAGATTCCTGGACAAGCCCATTTACCATCCAGCCAAGAATCGTTCTTACAGCATAGGGTCCGTTACCATGACTGTTGACTATTTCCAGGGGTTCCAATGCCATAGGTACATTGTTGCCAATTAGCAGCCCTATCTCTGCATCTATAGGTGGTAGTGTGACGTCCCATAGATGCGGCCATTGATGAATGAACTCTTCTTTGGGAATAGTGCTTGTGGAAATAGGCATTTCATCTTGTGTGAATACTGTAGGTAATTTGATCCAGTTCCTTCCATGGATGTCACCTACTTCTAGGTTTGTTAGAATGGAGGTATTCACAGACTTCTTTTGAGTCATGGTGCTGACAACTATATTTGTCATCTTCCCTGTGACATGAAGCTCGTCAGCCAACCTGCTTGTGCAGAACGTTGCTGAACTGCCGTTGTCAAGGAAGGCATATGTCTTGACATATCTGTCCCCAGCGGCGACTTTGATTCTAACAGGAACTACAGGCATATAGCTCAAGTCTTTGAGATCTTCACTGTGACGTGTAGCCAAACTGTTGTTTGTTACAACCTTTGGCTTCGTCTGATCCTTTTCCTTCTTTAGTTTATCTTTATTGTTGTCATGGAAACACGTTGCATGTCTCATTTTGCAGATATGACAGGTCAATCTGCTGGGGCACTGGCGACTTGTGTGTCCGAACTGTAGACAGCCAAAACACAATCCCTTTGGTCTTAGAAAGTCAATTTTTTCATCCAGTGTCTTACACTGAAGTCTTATGCACATTTCCATACAGTGATCCTCGTCGCAGAACCAGCATGGCTTGGCGAATGCCCTCAAAGCTCTCTCTCGTGCTGTGAATGGCTTACTTTGTGTCTCTGATTTTGCCTGACCAGGGTAGGTTTCTTTGGTTGCCACCTCATGAATTCGCGATTCAGATTTCGATGTATCAGTGGCAAAGCTCTTAAATCTCTTAGGTGCTTCTTTCGGGTTAGGCTTTGGTTGAGCTTGTCTGTCGTCGGCAATTGTGCCAAACAGTGGGCTCGACAGTATCTGTGCTTGTCTATCCACGAAACGAACAAGGTCTGCAAAGGTGACATTTCTTCTTTCCAAGATATCAAATGAAACTGCCCTCCATCTTTCTCTTAATTTGTATGGCAACTTTTGAATCAGTTCCCTGAGGTTTTTGGGATGTTCTAATTCTCTCATGTACTCTATATCTGCCATGGTATTTCCACAACTTGTCAGGAATATAGAAAAGCTGGTAAGTGCGTCACTGTCTTCTGACTTTATAGCTGGCCATTTCAAGGCTTTGTCCATGTAAGCTGCTGCAAGCTTGTATTTGTTCCCAAATTTCTTATCCAACAGTGACCTGGCTTGTTCATAACCACTTTCCGGATTCATGTGAATACAGCTTCTTACCAAGTCATTTGGTTCACCGCTGGTGTACTGGTCCAAGTAATAGAGTCTATCCTTGGGATTAATGGTCTTGTCTTCTATGCCATGTTCAAAAGCTCTTATGAAAGGCTTAAATTGTAATGGGTCGCCACTAAACGTAGGTATTTTTCTAATGGGTAGACTGGCTAGCTTCTGGTGTTCTACCACAAGCTGCATTATTTCATTCTGTTGTTTACACACTTCATCGAAGTGTGTATTGCTGACTCCAGCTGGTGAGCTTGTGTTCTGATTCGGGGTGAATTCTCTAGCAAGTGGATTCAACACTTCATTTCGGCTATTTGATGGGTTGAAGGACTTTTGAGAATGATCTTTCTTTTGCGAACTGTTAGATTCTTGGTCATACTGGTCAAAAATTGCATACTGGGCATTTGCGATTTCCACTTCTGTCTCGAGTTCTAATCTTTCTCTCCTTTGTTTTAGCCTATTCTCTTCTTCTTCCAGTTGATGCTTTTGCTCTAATCCTTTCTGTCTAGCAACAAGTTCGGCCCTTTTTGCCAAGATTTCCATTTTAGCAGAGGAAGCAGATGATATGACTGAACCCTTACGTGTTCCGACTTGTGAAACGCTATCTTCAGGCCTTATTTCATTTTCTGTATCACAGGGTTTAATAAACGAAGCAACATTTGTCTCAAACTGTACTAAGGCACCTAACTGTGACTGGAACCAGGCTTCGTCTTCCTCTTTCGCTGATTGACTTTCAAGTTTATTGTGATAAGTTTCAGCCGATTCTTTAAATTTCGAAAATAGTTCTTTCCATTCTTGAAACTCAATTTTCACATCATCCAGAGCATCAGAGCTCATCAGGTATTCAATATAATTTACCTTTGAACACACTTGTTTGTACAGGAATTTTCTTTTTTCCAGTGCTATATTCAAATTATAGCTTTGGCCCTTTTCCGTTGGTTTTCTTATTCGTGATTCTGTTATCACAGATTTAGCATTTCTCCTAGGCTCATTGGTCAGTCCTTTATCACCGTGAACAGTATCGCTCAATGTTCTGCTTGCCATGGTGAAAAATTAGTCAAACAGTTCGAATAATCTTGAAATAACTTACAGTTCTTGAATTCCTTAATCCTAAATGAATACACAGTTCCAATGAAATATAATCTCTCCTGTTTCTGAATAAATACTTGAACAGGTGGTCTTCTTAAATCCTGTTAGCACATCCTTGAACACATAACAGTTCCATTTGCTTGACAAGCTCAATCTTCTTTAAGAAAAACTAAATGAATAACTTACTTCAGCTTTGAGTCCTTAATCCAGTTTGCATTAATCCATTTTGATGATTGCACAATTCTTCCGCACAAAATTCTTTGTCCAAGTCTTAGGTTCACATCCGGAGTTTCACGGGTTTTTCAACTTTGAATGTGAGTTCTTAAATTATCTCGCTGTTGGGGGTAGAGGATGTAAAAGTATCAACTCAGTCCAGTGATTTCAAAATGTCCTTTAATCTCAAGTTCCGAGCTTTCTTACTACACTTCTTCACAATACAATCCACACGATGACAGAATAACAGTACCTGAACATTAATTTGACAGTGACTAGACAATGTCTAAACAATGAATTAACAGTGGCTTCACAGTGGCTGGACAGTGGCTGGACAGTTCCTGGATAGTTCCTGGATAGGTTGAAAAACCGTATGTCCTCTTAGCCCACAACACACAATCATACAATTCTCTCTCAGAAACTTAAAACATGTCTTACTTCTTCGGTATCTTAAAGCTCTCTGTCCCTTTCTCACACTCTTTCATTCCACATGTGTCACTTACATTCTTGGTCGGCCACTTATCGTGGTTGATCTGGTCAAAACCCATAGGACCCCTCAAAGACAATTAGTCTATGAGTCTTAGTTGCAGTGGTAAATCACAGCTGCCACCAGTCCTGTGAATGTAGCTCGGACATCTGCTGGCAGCAGGGTCTGACAGATTCTTATGTCTCGACTAATTTCTATATACTAGCACATGCAGCCTCTCACGCACAAACCCTAACAAAGTTACAAATATAATATTTTGCATGTACAGCAAATGCCTAAAATTCGGCTCTAACACCTGGTAATGAATGTTATCGACCAGCATGTTATATCTTAATTACCAGTTTATTGGCTGGTACTGTATTATCGTTTAGAATGCATTTTTAAACGTATTGTCAACGTTCGCCGTGTTGTTCGATATGCCCAAAAAATGACAAATGCCACTCAGTAAACATATTCACCCAGTCTCTCCGCACGATTCATTTTGTTTTCTCCTGGGACAAGCATAAGTTTCGCAACCCCACAAATGGCTCTTTTGTTGTTAATATTCAAAAATAATTCTGTAAGAGTGCAAGAAAGTCTTTCCTGAGTACAATCTTTCTTATACATGAGAAAAATACGTTAACACAATGTAAGCCCTAATTGGAATAGATGACACAATGATTAGTCCTTTTGAATATTATGTTTTAAAAAATCTAACGTATTTAGTTTGACTAAATGTCGGGATTTATATTTGTGTCTTGTTGTTATCGCCAAAATAAACGAACTCTTCTCATCGCATGCAGATCAACGTTTCCCTGTGAGGAGTTTTAAGTAACCTTCACCTTTATTCCCGTGAACCTTGACCTCCAAGCATGGCGGAGGAAGGCAGATTGTTTCTTGGAGTTGAAATCAGCACTCAGCAGGTGCGTTTGCAACTCTGATCATCTCAATTCTGGCTTGGATTTAATGTAGATCTGTCGTATAAACGCAGCTGTGAAAGCGAATTTGTCTTGCTACGCTTGTCACACATGTGCATAATGTTTTTTCTTATCTGTACGAGTTGTAAGTAGGTGACGGGGCCTCCAAGGCCTGTCATCAGCTGTGCGGTGAATGATACCTGATAGCAACCGAGATATTATGTGTGGCCGACTTTCTGTTACAACTGCTTGCCTTAAATTGTGCTGCATCTTTAAAAATAATCTATGCTGTATTTATATAAAGCTTTTCATTGATTGAAATTGCATGTCCCAAGGCTTGCCAGGGCACTTAAATAACTCGGTAAAAAAAGAGGAATCATACAGTAAAAAAATTAAAATAAAATTTAAAAAAGATTAAGTGGTTACTTTTAACAATGTATTTTGTGAGCTGTGAGAATGTCATTCAATAGAATTTATAGTTTAGATGCCAAAACAGATTGATGGATCTTATCTATTTTAGTTATTACAATGTCATTAAATACTTTATCTTCTCCTTTCAAGCCACAATATGAGGTGTCCATAAAGCTGTGGATTAAAGAAATTATAATGAAACATGTCGATGTTTACACATGTGCATAAATGCTTGCCTGCATGTTATTTATACCATAGATGATGTATATGTCAGGGTAGAGACTGCGATCTGGTAGAATCGGAGATTCTACCAGTAGAGATTGCGATCAGAGTCTCTACCCTGACATATATATGTTTTCTGAAACCTTGTAAGCAACAGTAGATTATGCTCACCATTGTTGAAACATGGCAGTTATTACCAACTGTAGATAATGTAACCAATATGCAACAGGAATGTGAAAACATAAAGTAAGTTGAAATGTACTTTCTTGCCAGATTAAGACTATTGCAATCAACAGCAGACTTGATGTTACCAATGAATACAATGTCAAGTTTGACACGGAACTACCAGAATACAAGTAAGTCACATTTGTTGTTTCTTTGTAATATTTTTAATGACTGTTAAAACAGTATGGAGCCAGTGTTATTCTCAGTACATAAACTTGGAATACTGGTGCAAATGTTACGCTACACTTTTAAAATATTTACTATGCCTATATTTCAAAGTTAGTTTGTTTTGGATTTATTTCTTTGTATGATAAGTTGTCTGTATTGTATTTGGATAAAAAAAAATTTGAAACAGGAATTTCTCAAGCAAGCAGATAAAACGCTTTTAAAAATTCACCTGACATGTAAAAAATTCAGTGGTTTGTAAAATATTTCTAAAAATAATTAATCAATTGTGTTTTCTCTAGGACACATGGTGGAGCCAACATCCATGAAGACCATGTGACTGTCACTGCCCCCACAGCCATGTGGGTAAAGGTACATGTCACAGAGTTCTCTGCATCATCTAATACCAAGTCCCTTATCACTGTGATACCCTGAAACACAAGGAAAATTACTTATTATATTGTATAGACATGATGTGTTTTTTGTGCACACCTATCTTGAAACACATCCAATGAAAATGGACCCAGAATGACGACATCACCTTTGATTATCTCTAAATACTTAGAGGGGCAATGGGGTAGCCTAATGGTTAAAGCATTGGCTCGTCACGCCGAAGACCTGGGTTCAAATCCCCACATGGGTACAATGTCTGAAGCCCATTTCTGGTGTTCCCGCCATGATGTTGCTGGAATATTGCTGAAAGCGGCGTAAAACCAAACTCAGTCAGTCAGTCTAAATACTTAGAGCAACTTAATTTATTTTTTGTTGCCATTTTCCAAATATTACAAAAGTTCAGTTGTACATTTTCAAAGTATGTCAGTATATTTTTCTTCATTTTTTCAGTCAGTTAATCAGTTATTGAAATTATTAAATAATTTATAACATTTGAGTTACAAGGAAATTGTTTATATATTAATCTATTGAACCTAATCAGTTGTACAGTATGTATATTTTATAGCAGCAGATAAGGTTTTTTTCTCCTTTATGGAAAAAGCAATAATACATGTGGAAAGATCCTGCATGTTTAGATCACCTGTCTCAATTATCCAGTTTATAACATCTGCATTCATAAATACCCTGGTCCAGTTTTCTTTCTGTGTTGTCACTTTGAGCGTGCCGTGTAGGCCAGACTCTCAAATGATTCATGTGAGTACTGTGAATGAGAGGTATTCTGTGCTATGCTGGAGACAGGAGATATGGCCTAGGCGGATCCAGAGGGGGGTGCGCACCCTCCCTTTTGTGCTGAAAGTTTGTTAAATGACCATTGAAACTCGGGTGAAAATGAAGTGTGCACCCCTCCTTTTCTCAATAGTGTGCACCCCCCCACCCCACCCCTTTTCTCAAAAAGCTGTATCCGCCCCTGTATGGATGGTGCCTTGTAGCTTCTTAAACAAAGCTATGTCAGCAGTGGGTCAAGATAATAACAGAAATGTGGGTGAAGGTGGTTTATCTCTGACATTGCATGTATTGTGAGTCACTGTTGGAAGCCTTGAGTAAAACGCCCTTCAACTGGTCCAAAGACCAAGTCTCAGTAATTATTTTAATGGTATGCAGTTCTCATAAAAGTCTGTATATTTACACTAAATTCAGATGAAAAAATATCATGTAAAGTTTGATTAGACTATTATGCCTTGATGTATCCCATGACGCAACACTGACCAGATGCATGGTTGACCCAGGCACTGGACCTCCTGCTGGACACGATGAAGGCCGACAACTTCCCCTTCTCTAGAGTGGCTGCGCTGTCTGGGACAGGACAGGTAACATGGACGAAGCTTTAAGGAATCAGTAGTGTTTCAAAACAGTGATTTATCTCCTTTTGATCCTTTTCTCTTGTAAACATGATTAAACTACCGATGATTTTCTAAATTAATTGTTTTGTGGTGCTCAGAATATGGAAATTTCAATGAGATAACTGTGGTTCTGCAAGCACAAATTGTCTATGTTGTTTTAATTCATTTGTTAATATCATCTCCTGTATGTACAGCAACATGGTAGTGTGTACTGGAAGAAGGGAGCCAGGGATACCCTCTCCAGTCTCAACCCCAGCAAGTCCTTCAGTGATCAGCTTCAGGTATGTAATGGAGAAGGGGCTTCTAAACATCTTGCCCTACTGCTTGAACTTGTTGTTTGACTGTCACTGAGGCAGGGTGTCACGAGTACCAGAACTGTTCATGACTGTCATTGAGGCAGGGTGTACCAGAACTGTTTGACTGTCATTGAGGCAGGTGTCACAAGTACCAGAACTGTTTGACTGTCATTGAGGCAGGGTGTCACGAGTACCAGAACTGTTTGACTGTCATTGAGGCAGGGTGTGTACCAGAACTGTTTGACTGTCATTGAGGCAGGGTGTCATGAGTACCAGAACTGTTTGACTGTCATTGAGGCAGGGTGTCACGAGTACCAGAACTGTTTGACTGTCATTGAGGCAGGGTGTCACGAGTACCAGAACTGTTTGACTGTCATTGAGGCAGGGTGTCATGAGTACCAGAACTGTTTGACTGTCATTGAGGCAGGGTGTCACGAGTACCAGAACTGTTTGACTGTCATTGAGGCAGGGTGTCACGAGTACCAGAACTGTTTGACTGTCATTGAGGCAGGGTGTCACGAGTACCAGAACTGTTTGACTGTCATTGAGGCGGGGTGTCATGAGTACCAGAACTGTTTGACTGTCATGGTGGTAGGGTGTCATGAGTACCAGAACTGTTTGACTGTCATGGTGGTAGGGTTCCTAAATATCATGCCCTGTTGCTTGACCTTGTTGTTACATTCAATTGAATTCTGCAATATGGATGAGCATAGCAGTACGCAGTTCTCATAGAACCAGAATGCCATATGTGGAAAGTACATCAAAGCTTAATGTTCCCTTTACTGTGCAGTTTTGGCCTGATTTAAACAAACCAGCATAGCAATTATGAGGTAAATATTTATTTTCTTGGCGTTCAGATTGACCCAGTTTGATGGACAACTCTGTAGACCTAAATTTCCCTCATTGCTATTTTCCAGGTGATTTTCTATGCTCTTGCAATATTATACTCCACATTGATTTAGAATTCCTGCCATTTTGTATGCATGAATGATAGTCTCAAAATAGTATGTCCTATACCACAACAGAACTGAGTGAGTGAGTGAGTTTAATTTTACGCCACACTCAGCAATATTCCAGCTATATGGTGGCGGTATATAATCGAGTCTGGACAAGACAATCCAGTGATCAACATCATGAACATTGATCTGCGCAATTGCGAACTGATGACATGTGTCAACCAAGTCAGCGAGCCTGATCACCCGATCCCGTTAGTCACCTCTTACGACAAGCATGGGTTACTGAAGATCAATATTCTAACCCGGACCTTCACGGGTAACAACAGAACTTATTCAAGAGGAGATCAGCCACATTGCTAAGAACCTGTGTGTGGAGGTCGGTTGACAATATTTGTAACAGGTATTGCAAACAGTGAGTTGTATTAGTTTCCACACAGCTGGAAAGACTGTTTTGTACCTACTGAAGCAGGCATTGTATGGGTGTTGTTGCAGGACTGCTTCAGTATCAGGGATTCCCCGATCTGGATGGATGCCAGTACGACAAAACAGTGTCGAGACCTGGAGGAGAAGGTTGGAGGCCCACAGGTATAGTGTCATTTTCAACAGGAATAATACAGCAACTGCAAGTGTATTGTCATTTACCACAGGAATAACAAAAAAACCACAGGCATAGTGTCATTTTCAACAGGAATAATACAGCAACTGCAAGTGTATTGTCATTTACCACAGGAATACAAAAAAAGGGATGTGAAACTGTAATGTGATGGACATGTACCTGTTTGATTGTACCTAGTCCAGATGTGGATCTGTTGCTGTTGGTAACTGTGCAGCTAGTTCTTAATCCCACCTAGTTTTTATCATCGATGTACTATTCATATTTGGCAGCCACTGTTTCCACCTCATCCCATTTTAGTTACCTTTTATGACATGTTTATGACTTGGAGGTTATACAACCCCAATTTTTTTTTAGACTTCTATAGTAACGTTATATATTTTTACAATAATAGCTAGTCTAAATTTGATTTAAAACCGAACGTGTAGCGTGAGGTTTTAAATAAAAAATATTTAGAGCTGTTATAATCTCGTTATATAACTCTGATTTTCCAACACAATATGTTTATCTCCATTCTACCATAACCACGTTATTAAGATTGAAAAAAAGTACATATTGTGTTGGAAAATCAGATGTATATAGCATGATTTTATACCTCTGAATGACTTTAATTAACCAATCACTATCCAGTATTTACTGAAGTCATGGTAGAATAAAATATACCTAGCTTAACCAGATCCTTTTCCAGTAAGCTAAACACGTGAACCCCAGATCCACAGCAAATGTCACCTGCTTGAAAATATCTTTGGTCACATTCAGCAGAAGACTTCATGCTGAAGACAGCACTTGTTCTTGAAAAACTTGGTCAGTTTCAATTACAGGATTTTTATAAGTTAAAACAGTCCCTGAAATCTTACACAAAATCTGCCAAACACAACTGCCCATGGTTTAATCTTCATTGAAGGCCCTCTTCAAAAAACTGCTGGTCATACATCCTCCATAATCTCCAGGGTATATGTTACTATCACTCTCCACTATACCCTGGATGCATCCACGGCTTGGCCCGATAATTATATAACCTACCTTTGCTGACTCTGCATTCTTACAGTAGCCAATCAGCTAAGCCGCCGTTACATCCGAACTTGCCAGTGTCAACAAAGATAGCAGTTGCAGCCGCGAACATTTGTTCGCAGTACCACTCAGATTTTTTTGAGAAGTAATACAGACAAATTGACAGATCTTTCACATCTTTCAGAGTGCCCTCTGCAATAATTGTGTTGCCAAGTTTAATCGGTTAGATAATTTAAAAAGCGTACGTGAGTTGTGATTGGTACGTTCAACTTCCCAGCGTAGCCACCTGATTGGATAAAAAGCCAGCCAATGGAGGTAATAAAATCATCTCAAGCCGTGGATGCATCCAGGGTCTAGTGGAGATTTATCGGGAACGTATACCCTGGAGATTATCGAGGATGCTGGTCATATGGCTGATTATGATTTGATGTGAAATCTCCATGTGAACATTATCAAGGGAGACAACTCTTTGAAATCGATTCATTCTGGTTGAGATATTCATGCATTGAAATAATTGATTGGTTTTAATAGCTCTTTGTTGTTTTGATTATCCTTGAAGTTCTTTGAAGTTAACCAAAAAGAATTGCAATACTAGTCTCCTAGCGTGGCTGTATGGCTTGTGAATGAAGATGAAGACGTTGGAGGTTGTAGTCATTGAAATGAAGTGAATAGTGTCTTCCTACAGGTTATACTAACTGTTGCCATAGCTACCTTATTTTTGAAAATGTTTTCATACATAAAAACAACAAAAACACTGGATATTCCACAAAATGCTAATTTCTGCGAGAAAGCATGTTTCTATAGTAAGATGTTTCAGTGTTCTTAACTTTCCCTGAATGAAAACAGTTTGACATCTTTAAATTTTGTTCCAGAGTTTGACTGACATAACCGGATCCCGAGGATATGAGAGACTGACAGGAAATCAGATTGCGAAGCAGTATCAGACGCAACGAGCTGCATATGAAAATACAGAGGTATGCAATAGCAGTGGTCTGGTTGTTTACACAGGTTGATTGACAGCTAGGATGACATCTTTGTTCTTGTCAATTTGTCAGATTATGTCATAATTACAAGCAGATCAGTGCTCACCGATCTTCAGAAAAAGTCCAGTACAGTAAAATAAAATTTGTCATACTGAATACATGTACTGCTCTAAAGATTGCACTCTCCACCCTTTGAATCGTTACAATCTTTCTTTGTGACCCGACCTATCTCATTTGAATATTTGGAGCTTTGTGCCTTTGATATCATGGTGTTAGATCAGATTTCAAGCAGTTTGTGATGTCAAATGTTACACATTCAGACTACTATCACCCCAGATCATGGAATTCTAAGTCAACAGTCTAGGTTTTTTGTGATGAGTATTTCCAAGATCTGGCTTCTTGCATTAATTAATTACTTGACACATCATCATGAATACACACGAGTGTTGACTGTATACATTTAGTGATATACATCAATTTCATGATGCATAATATTTCTCTAATTGGTCATTTGAATCCTGTTTTACATGAGCAGATGCAGATATTGTTTTGTCACTTTGACATACTGGCTGACAAGACATGTATGTTGAGTCGTTTCCCATTCCAGCGCATTTCACTTGTGAGCAGTTTCGCAGCGTGTTTGTTTATTGGCGACTATGCCCCGATCGATGATAGTGATGGGTCAGGCATGAACTTGATGGACATTCGGACAAGGAAGTGGTCACCGCAGTGTCTAGATGTGAGATGTAGGGCTGTATCAATCCGTGTCTATACACCGCTCTAAATCATACTGGACAGGTGCTGCAGTAGACTTAAAGTGTTCACTTGCCATGCTACAAGACTGGGTTCGATTCCCAACATAATTATCATGTGTCAGGCTAATTTCTGTGTCCTCTGGTGTTGCTATAATATTGCCAAAACAATAATATTGTCATAATATTTACTCAAAGCCACTCATTCATTTGAATATATTGGATGTTGTGTAAGCACTTAGTCATGTAAGCCATGTTTGTGGTCAATCTCATTGAAAAGAAATATTTCACTCTGATACAAAACCTCTGTATGAAAGTCTGAGGACACCTCTGTAGGATAGGTCAGATGAACTCGAGCAAACTTTGACCACCCAATATAAGTGTATAACTTTAAACTTTACTTTAAACAGGCCTGTGCTCCCAACCTAGATCAGGTGTTGGGCCCCATTGTTCCTTCTGCTCAGCTGGTTGTAAGTACCTTGTGTGACCATACATATGTTGGTTGTTTTTAAACTGAATTCAGACAACTGAGATTGACAAAATCTCCAGGTTTGGGTTAACCAGGGAAATTTAGGATTATTGTCTTATTGAAAAGTTGAAATGCCAGTCTCCTTATTTTGTTAATCTTCAACATGTTCTGTTGCCAATATTCACTGGGACCAGCAATTTTTCTCTGATGATAATTCTTTTTAGTACTGTCAAACCAAGTTTACGAAAATTAGCCACCTACAGTGAGCCTCTTTTTCAGCTTTGTTGATGTACGTTATGTGTGTACTTTACTCTCCTCTCTCTGTACATTGTTTGTCTGTTACACAGGGAAAAGTCAGTCAGTTCCTGGTAGAGAGATATGACTTCTCACCAAACTGTCAAGTCGGCGCTTTCACTGGAGACAACCCAGGTACAGTACTTTTCATGACAGAATTCATCTTAAATTCTATATTACTTGGATGATGTAATTAAGGCCACACAGTTTTGATTTTCTCGTTTACAGAATTGGCTACAACTACCATATTCTAATATTTGTTGAAACTGTAGTTCACAGAAGGATCACTGTATATGTATTTATGTTTGAGAGGATGAATTGTGTTATTACTGAATGTTTCAATATTCTGTCTTACAGTTTGAATGTTTTTCCACAGCTTCACTGGCAGGTCTTGCACCAAAACAAGGGGATCTCATTGTGAGTACTGTCTGATCACTGTCACCCATGTCTGCCAGTATAACCACATTAGGTGGATTGAAGCTGCTTCTGTAATCCTCCAGATGGCCTGGTCCTGACTCTGTTAATCACTGTCACCCATGTCTGCCAGTATAACCACATTAGATGGATTGAAGCTGCTTCTGTAATCCTCCAGATGGCCCGGTCCAGACTCTGTTGATCACTGTCACATATGTCTGCCAGATTGAAGCTGCTTCTGTAATCCTCCAGATGGCCTGGTCCTGACTCTGTTGATCACTCTCACCCATGTCTGCCAGTATAACCACATTAGATGGATTGAAGCTGCTTCTGTAATCCTCCAGATGGCCCGGTCCAGACTCTGTTGATCACTCTCACCCATGTCTGCCAGTATAACCACATTAGATGGATTGAAGCTGCTTCTGTAATCCTCCAGATGGCCCGGTCCAGACTCTGTTGATCACTCTCACCCATGTCTGCCAGTATAACCACATTAGGTGGATTGAAGCTGCTTCTGTAATCCTCCAGATGGCCTGGTCCAGACTCTGCTGCTAGAGGCTGCCATGTTCAGCTGGAATATTGCTGACAGATGCATTAATAACATTTTTTGCTGACAGATGCATTAATAACATTTTTTTAATATCAATCAAATAAAGATTGATTGATTGATTGATTTGTATTAAATAACATTTGATTAAACAAGGCTACAAGTAAAACATCATTATTAAAAAGGAATGGCTCAACCAAATTTTCTTAAGCTTAGATTTTGTCAACACATTTATTTAAATTCTGATCATTCATATGTAATGTAAAAGCTGTTGTATTTTGTGATCATTACTATTACTGGAAAGGGTGTTGCATGTTTTGTACGTTGTCAGTCTTTCAGTAGTTTGTATTCCTAGTTTACCCCATCAACAGCACCATTTTTAACCAACAATTCTTTTGATTGTTCTGACCAATGAGAGCTTATATTAAATCACAGCAAACAGTTTTGTGTTTAAGATCCACCTAAAACACCCCTGTTTTAAACATGTTAAGGTCCAGTCTCACGTTGTGACTCGTAGTAACAACCTGTAGTATCTACATGTAGATATAAAATCTTATTTAAATGAGTTGATATGACTTGGAATTTATGCGATAATCTCGTATTTTTCAAGCGACGAGTAGATGCCTGTGTTGATTGTCGTACATTTGGTAAATGAAAAGAAAAAGAAAAAAGAAAACCCAAATGCGTTTGTGTTAGGCAGTGGATACTCAGCAGACCTACCTATAATAGTTGATAAAATACTCAGTGTCAGTCTTTGAGAGCGGGTCTTGATATCTCTTGGGCTCCATGTTTACAAAGGGACTGAACTCTTGTCTTACTGTGTCAGTGTTTTGATTGGTCAATTTCTTACGATCTGTCGCTTGAAATAGGGAAGTTTCTATTTCTTGTACTCGCTTTCGACAGGTTGAGAGCATGTCAAAGTTGATACGACTTGGGTGTTCTCACATTGCAACTCGTATCGATTCTACAAGTAGTTACTACAAGTCGTACTATGAGAACGGGCCTTTATGAATACACAATGCCATTTAGGAAGAGCCATTACAAGCATGTAACTTCACTTTGTCAAGTGCTATGAGCTAACTGTCTGTGTGGATTTGACACTGTGTATCACTATCAGGTAATAGTAGGGTCCACAGAATATACATGCTGCAAATAGAGCTCATTTTAATTCATGGCATGATTTCTTTTATTGATTTAAGACAGACCTGTCCTGATACATCACATACTGTCTGACTGTATATTTGGGTCATTGAGGAACCTAGTGTATACAAACACACAGAAACACTGACCTGTTCATGAGCTGCTAGCTACCAGTTCAGATATGCAAGGAACATGTTTTATTATCAGAGAGTGTAACAACAGGAGTAACTTGCGTTATTCAAAATGGATTTGTTGACACTGTGTTTCCCGATGACTGTTCACGCTGAAATGATGAGCAAAAGTTTATGGTTAGGCTTATCTACAGAACATATAATTAAGGACCTCAGCTTATCTATGAGATCGGCTTATTTACGGTAATATATATGTTACTTGACCAGTGTTGTATCTGCAGGTGAGCCTCGGCACAAGCGACACAGTGTTCCTATGGTTGACGGAGCCCAAACCTGCACTCGTGGGACACATCTTTGCCAACCCTGTGGATACAACAGCTTACATGGCACTGCTCTGGTAGGATTCAAACAAACCTGTTGGGGTTACATAGCTCAGTGGCAGCTGGTCGTAAGGGGCGATGTACTCAGGTGGTCAGTATTGCTAACATGGTCTGACCTGTGTTATTGTATACCACAGACAGGTCATTGCATGTCATACCAATCACCAGACTGTCTGGTCTGGGATGGTGGGGTAGCCTAGTGGTTAAGGCGTTTGCTCTTTACGCAGAAGACCCGGGGATTTTTATTTCCCACCTGGGTACAATGTGTGAAGCCCATTTCTGGTGATATTGCTGGAATATTGCTAAAAGTGCCATAAAACCATACTCACTCACTCGCTGTAAACAATAGTTCCTGCATGAGCATGCTATACAGCTGAAGTTATAACAACCATGGAATACGTAGCTCACCTGCAAAATGTTGTTTAATTTAATTTGTGTTCAAGGTAAAATGTTAATTCAAAAGATTTGCCTTTGTAACTAAATACAGTGAAACCTGCCAATACCGGCACCTGTCTAATCCGACACACTGTCAAAACCGGCATTTTATTTTTCAAGTCCCAAGGGGTGCCGGTTTAGACAGGTTTCAACTGTATTCTTGGCAGACAGTTGTAACTACTGAACTTGATGCTGGTGTTCTTGTGGCTATAATATTGTGGTTTGTTGCAGTTTCAAAAATGGCTCTTTAACAAGAGAAAGGGTTAGAGATGACAACGCTGACAAGTCATGGGACAAATTTGGGGAACTTTTGCAGAAATCCCCTCTTGGAAATAATGGCAATATAGGTTTGAAATATTTTGTCTATTTTAGTTTAGAGATGTTTAGAATTCCATATTAGCTATGTGATCAATTTCTCAGGTAGTCTTTATTCTTGCTGCAATGCTCATTGTCACTTCCTGCATTCTTAGATGTTGGTTTCTCCAACTGCCTTTAAACTTTTTCCAAAATTGTGGAAATAGTGACAATGAAAGAAACTTGTACATCATTATGATTATTGGTTGTATTTCAGTGGTTCGTCATTATGAAAATTTTAAACCCAAACATCTTTGTAGGCTAAAATAGTCCATTGCTTGTTTTGTATGTATATCATTGCCAGGAACACTAATGGTTGTGTGCAGACACGTTAATGAAATATGGTGTACAACATGGCTGACAACATGGCTTTAATGCCTACCTCACCACACTTTTATCAGAAAATCTACTTCTATATATCCAAAATATGATCTGTAATTATGATATTAAGGAAACAATAATATTGTCTTGTTTTTCTATAAACGATATACATGCACTGTTACAGGATAATACTTGCATGTCATATATTGTTTGGGTGTAACATGAAACCTCCATGTTAGGGTTACAACTTGTGATAAACAGTACTCATGGACAATATCCCTTGTATCAGAGTGAGTTGGTGAGTATGGTTAAACTTCAGAAATGGACTTAACACATTGTGCCCATGTGGGGAATCGAACCCGGGTTTTCGACGTGACGAGCGAACGCCTTAACCACTAGGCTACCCCACCGCCCCCTTGTATCAGAGAGCTGGTAGCATGGTTAAACTTCAAGTGGTACTGTCATCAATTCCTGGTGTCAGAATTGAAGACTTAGATATAGTTTACAAAAATACCTACCGCCTCCGTGGTGTAGTGGTTAGAGCGTCCGCCCAGAGAGAGGAAGGTCGCGGGTTCGTTTCCCGGTCACGTCATACCAAAAGACGTTAAAATATGGTACTTGTTGGTCCCTGCCTGGCAGTACGCATTAATGGATATAACAAGGACTGGTCAGCTCGGAGTCAGTATAATGTTTCTGAGTGGGGTATTCATGCTTAACTGCGGCATGGTATCTCAGTGGGCTAGCACTATAAAACCAGCTTAAGTCTGGGCTAGTACAAGCAGCCGCACATACACATACACACGCATGCACGTCATCATATGAGCGAAATATTCTCAAGTACGACGTAAAACCCAATTTCACCTCACCTCACCTCACCTCACCTCTGCAGACTGCAGCCAGTCACTGTTAACTACACCCTCACACATTCAGTTGGGCAGGTACAGGGACCATGAACATTCTAAAGTACTGTTTAAATCATGGAGTAGATTTTGGATGCTTGAATGGTGAAGGTATAATCCACCTCAGTGAGCTAAGAAGTGTGAGATTAATTTTGTGGACAAGAGCTTAATTACATGATGAAATGACTGAAATAACTGAATTCAAAGTTGGATCAAAAGAATTATGCTTGGGGCACACTCAAATACACAGGTCATCTTTGTAAGTGCCCCTGTGCTATACTTGATAAACTGCCTTTGTATGAGAGATGGTCTTTGTAATGACAATGTGAGTCTTTTCCAGGAATATACTTTGATATCACTGAGATCCAGCCGGTGGTGGAGGGTGTGTACCGGTTTAATGAGAAGGATGAGGAGGTACGTTTGTTTGTTGCTTAGTGCAGCATTCGAGTAAATATGGCCTGTTATAAAGGTGTATAGGTGTAATCAGCCAAGTCATCAAGTCTGACCACCCAATCCACAGAGTTGTCCTTCTTATAACCTGCATAGGGTGCTGGTGAACTGTGCTAACCTGAAATCCCCATGAGTGGGAGTGAGTATGGTTTTACGCCGCTTTTAGCAATATTCCAGCAATATCACGGCTGGGGACACTGAAATGGGCTTCACACATTGTACCCATGTGGGGAATCGAACCCGGGTCTTCAGTGTGACAAGCGAACGCTTTAACCACAAGGCTACCCCACCGTCCCCTATGAGTGGGAGGTAGTTGGAGACGGTTATGCAGGTGTCATGGGCGTACTGCTATTGGTTGCTGCCAAGTCAAAGAGTACATCCTGACTGTTAGTACTAGTACATTATTTTTGTAATACTTGTACATTTATTTATGTACTCTGGTTGAACATCTAATGATAAACCCTTGCCTAGTCAGTGATATTAACTTCTTATAACTCACTCACAAACCTTATACTTTTGAAGGGTATATATTTATATCTTCATATATTTAATTGATGTATTGTTAATTTGTTACAGAAAGGGCAAAGTCTGACAAGGATATACCCAGCAGAATAATAATAAAATATAATTTATCAAATGAACGAAAATTGTTTTCAAAGTAATTAAATATTTTTAGGTAAACAGTGTCAAATATCTTTGTGTAGGGGAATGTCCATGTCAGCCATTTGAGCATGGCTCATAAGTTTCAATCAACATTTCAAAGATTTCTGTAACTTTATGTTTTGAAATTTCCAGAAGACAATATAGAGCCTATATCCTACCATGTCCTTTTCAGTCAGTGTCTGTCCCACAGTCAGCTCTCTGCCCTACCTGTGTATGTTCTTCTTGTAGGTCTCCTCATTTCCGCCGGAGGTCGAGGTGCGTGCCCTCATTGAGGGACAGTTTATGGCTCGAAGGGTTTACTCTGAAACTCTAGGATTTCAAATAGGTCAGTATTAGATGTTTCATAGGTGACATTGAACTGAGAAGGTGTAAAATCTCCCATTTCACCTTGTGATAATTAGTTGACAGCAGTTAAATAACAAGGAATATAACCTGTTTGTGGATAGTTGTTATGGCTTTTTGAAATTAGTTTCTAATTTTAATGTGTCAGATTTCTATTAAACCAGAGACTATATTCATAACATTGATACAAATCTTGGTCAGAGTTCATTTTGTCCAAGTTTTACCAGTGTAGGGGTCTTTCTCTTTCACATGAAGGGGTCTATCACTTTTAAATGAAGGGGCCTTTTTCTTACCAATGAAATGATCTGTCTCTTTCAAATGGAAGGGTCTTTTTCTTACCAAGGAACGATCTATCTCTTTAATGAAGGGATCGGTCTCTTTCAAATGAAAGGGCCTTTCTCTTTCACATAGAGGTATTTCACTTTCAAATGAAGGGCCCTTTTTCTTACCATTGAAGAGATATGTGTCTTTCAAATGAAAGGGTCTTTCTGTTACAAATGAAGGGTTCTTGGATTCAGGGGTATTTCTGTTACCAAAAAAGTTTTTTTCTCTTATCAATGACAGGGGTATTGGTTTTTGTTTTATGTGCTATATTTCTTAAGCTATAACATTTCATTAATGTTTCAGGTTATGCTAACAGATAAAGAACAGAATATTCATTAATTGGGTATTAATTAACTTGCTCGTGTTTTGTCAGGCATCAATAATGGCGATCCAGGTAGTGCATGTTGGTACTGTAGAGACACGTTTCAGTTCGTAACCAGCACAACTCACAAATAATAACCTGCTTTAATGTAAGCCCAAACATTTGTTATTGTTCTTTTTTAATACAATTTTCCACTTTTAGAATTTTTGCTTTTTAGCCAGTTTTGTTGTTTGATATTTTGTGTTCTGTGCCTTCAGACAATTAGTTTATTTGCAGTTTAGTAACTAAATCTTTTATGTGTGGTGTATGAAGAATGTAGGAGTGTCTCATATGATGATGTCAGTGGCATGATAAGATAAACATCAATATATTGTTTTTCCAGACTCGATTATTTTCAAACCGACGCCATAAAGCTGAAATATTGCTGAGCGTGGCATTAAACAACAAACAAGCATTATGCTTAATTTTCAGTGAACCGTCAACGTTCCACAGATACGAAACTACTAATATCCCTATTTATAGGAAATGTGTCTGTGATGTCTGTGTGTCCATGTGGTCTTTCAAAATGTCCTTACTCAGTAAGTGAATAGCCATTGGCACAATGGCATATTGTTCTTCGTTCTATGTCTGGCTCTTCTGTCATCTCTCAGCATACCCGTGAAGAACCGGGTTAGAATTGGTTTTCAGCAACCCATGCTTGTCGTAAGAGGCGACTAACGGGATCGGGTGGTCAGGCTCACTGGCTTGGTTGACCCATGTCATCGTATCCCAATTGATGATATCAATACTCATGCTGTTGATCACTGGATTGTCTGCACCAGACTCGATTATCTACAGACTGCCACCATATAGCTGGAATATTGCTGAGTGCGACATTGAACAACAAACAAACAATCTCTCAGCAATATTTATTTATTACTTTTAATGAAGGAATACAGCAGTGTATTGTGAGAAAGATGGAGTTATGTGTTGAGAAATGTGTCTTGTTGTAAAGTGTTTCATTCATACTTCAGTCACTGTTTGACAATAATGTGATCTGACATGGTCCATGATAACTTCTTTGCTATTTTATATACCGTGTTTGCATGATGTAAAGATTGCTTAGTTTTCTTACTCCTCGGACTGAAAGTCATGTGGGCTTATGTCATGGCCTCCATGTCCGGCTTCCAGCATCCAGGAGCGGTGAGATAGCCGAGTGGTTAAAGCGTTCGCTCATCACGCCGAGGACCCTGGTTCGATTCCCCACATGGGTACAATGTGTGAAGCCTATTTGTCGTGTCCCTGCTGTGATATTTTTAAGAGATTGCTAAAAGCGGCGTAAAACCATCCTCACTCACTCACACCAGCATCCAGCATTGGCATTTGTGTCAGTAAACATCTTAAAAAAACACTGCCGCCAAACTTTCATTCCTGAACCCATGTAAATTTGTTTGAATGGTTATTGAACACACTATTGATGGCCACAATTCAGATATTTGTATTCAAATCAAATTGTAATACTCTTGAATTTTCTCAACATCTATTATCCTCTCTGAAATTAGAAGTCGCATGAGGCTATGAACTAAAACAGCTGAAATAAAAAAAGATTAGTTGAGTATTGCCACATGGTTCCAAACTAGAATGGTAATTCTTGGAGATTTTTTTTTTTATAATTGATATTTTTTATTTCTTGCTTCCCCGTTACAGATAGGACCGAAGAGCTAGGGGGCTCTAAGGTCCTTTGCAAGAAGGTTCATTGATCACAGGAAAAACAGGATTTCCTTTCTAACAAAGCACAAAACAACAACACCAGACACCACAACACATTCACTCACCAATCACACTTACAAGCTTCAAATATTTACAGTAAGTTTAAGTTCAAGTCCATTCAGCCTATATTTTTCATAAGGGAACAAGAAGAAAGAATTCAGAAAATAATTTAAAATTTGCAAAATCATGATATAACATCCACTTTTTATAAAACTTATCTTGTTCACTTTTACTGAAAGATATATTTTTTTCAATAAAATACCTATCTTGTAAATAATGTCTAAAATGTTTAAAACTAAGAGTAGTTTTTAATACCTTACATTTATATATGAAGAATTTAGCTAACAACAATATTAAATCAAACACATCATCAGTATATACATTTGTTCTCATTCCAAACACAATAAGTTGCAAATTCTTGGAGATTTGATAACAGTGTTGAAATGAAGTTAATTGCTTCATATTTATTAATACATTTGGCTTCAGTATTTGTCTAGAAAATATTTGAATAGCAATGCTGACAGAAACATTATTTAAGTGCCTGTATTTAACATTGTAAACTGTTGACTACAGGTACATATTATGGTGAGCTACAAAGCCACTGCAGTAATTAGGAGGCTGTACTTGTGTGGTTCGCATAACAATTATCATCTTCTAGATCTTCTTTCGGCTCTGTTCACATATATATAGAAATTTGTTGTCAGCTTTTTTGCAGATTTACATGTTAAAGGCTTTGAGCTTTCTGATCAAGGTGTGATGTTATCATCCAAGTAAACAATCATTTACTTAAGTAGAGACAATGCACTCCAGTATCTCTTGGGGTCTTCACTTTATCAAGAGGAGATAAATATTTATCAGTTCCCTATTCATCCTAGATTTCCTATTATTTCACTTCAGCAAGAGTAGCATTTATGGATAAAATATTGGTGAAGCATATGTATCAAACTGGATACATTTTGGTGCCAATCCAAATTGTTTATTGTTTTTTGGTATGTTTAAGTTGTAATAACACAGATGACTTCTCCTGCAGATTCCAACACCCGTGTGATTGCCACAGGAGGGGCGTCCATGAACACAGCAATACTGCAGGTGATATATTTACACATTCCTTCTTTGTTACCTGGTTAAAGGCTCTGCCAAATGTCCATTCTCAAATTTCATGTCCAAGTATCTCTTTTTTTTAAACAAGTTGAAAGGAAAGTAATTCTGACTTGTTTTTCAAAGTTACTGTCTGAGTAACATAACACCACATTTCTCCTACATGAGTGACATTGTATTGCTTTTCAGTGTTTTGTCTTTCTGATTGGAAACTATTATAAAAGAAACGAAGTATATTATCATGATAATCAATCATGCGTGTTTTCATTTCATGTTTATTTCACTCTGTCTGGTAATTCCTTGGAATAGAACCGTCCGATAGTTAGTGAACACATCTGTTGCAGAGTCAGAATGTCATACTAGGCACTTCATATACGGATTAACGAGAATCGGATTAACGAGAGTCATTGTCACAGTTTTAAATGGTTCCCTAATTTTTTGTCGGATTAACGTGATTGTCGGATTAATGAGTGTCGGATTAACGAGAGCTGACTGTACATATGTTTGAAATATACTGGATAGCTATTAACACTCAATATAAGTCCACCCGTGAAGGTCTGGGTTAGAATATTGATCTTCAGCAACCCATGCTTGTCGAAGAGGCGACTAACAGGATCGGGTGGTCAGGCTCGCTGACTTGGTTGACACATGTCATCGGTTCCCAATTGCGCAGATTGATGCTTATGCTGTTGATCACTGATTGTCTGGTCCAGACTCGATTATTTACGGACCACCGCCATATAGCTGGAATATTGCTGAGTGCGGAGTAAAACTAAATTCACTCACTCACTCCTTATTTCACTGCTGAACATACATGAAGAGGCAGCACACACAACATTTTGTTTTTGTTTCAATAACTTTGTAAAGTTGTACAACTTTGAGGCTTTGATCATTGTGTATTGTTTCCTTGGTCTTCACTATGTTGACAATACAACGGTAGGTAGTTGACAGGTGAGTGTTCATTTGATTGTTATGTGTTGTATTTCTGCCAGGTTTTGTCAGATGTCTTCAATGCCCCAGTTTACATCAAGGATGTGGCTAACTCTGCTGCCCTAGGGTGTGCGTTCAGGGCCAAACACAGTGAGTGTCGTCTGGTTTTGCACACACATACAAACACATTTCTCATACCATCCATAATATATACTTAATATACTAGTATGCACTACATCTGTCCACATTAACCAAACGTATCATAAAACTATGTGCATACCATAATAATCCACCGACTCATTCAAGACGAAGTGTAACTACCAAACATACTAATTAAATAATGTTTAACTAAAACACCACATCCTAAACTCCTTATGGTAAATATAAAAACAAAAAGACATCTAAAGTAACTTACCCCAATAGGTGCAAAGCTATGACAATTCATGCAGAGATGAGATGGCAGCAGTAACCAGAGAAGAGAAATGTTTGAGAAATAACCCCTCCATATCTGGTCACATACAGAAACACCAGCCAAGCCGTGGCTGGACCAGGTTGCTGAAGAAATATAGAAGGCCATGCTGACTTACATAACTACTTTACCTAGGGATTAGTAGAGAGTGCATGGGTTACTATGAACTAATCGGTTCTCCCACTATGTTAGGTCAAGCATGTCATTGTATCCCAATTGCATTGATTGATGCTCATGATGTTGATCACTGTATTATCTGGTCCAGACTCAGTTATTTAGTTGGAATATAGCTGGAGTATTGCTGACTTCTGGGTTAACAACAAACAAACAAACAAACAAACAATCAAACAAACGTACTCTGTGGGGGACTAGAGTTATATATATATGTGGTTGATCTTGCCAGGCTGGCTGGGGCCTGGAGTGCCCTACACGGAGGTGGTGGTGATATATATATATATATATGTGGTTGATCTTGCCAGGCTGGCTGGGGCCTGGAGTGCCCTACACGGAGGTGGTGATATATATATATATATATATGTGGTTGTTCCTGTCAGGTTGGCTGGGGTCTGGAGTGCCCTACACGGAGGTGGTGATATATATATATATATATGTGGTTGTTCCTGTCAGGTTGGCTGGGGCCTGGAGTGCCCTACACGGTGGTGATATATATATATATATATATGTGGTTGTTCCTGTCAGGTTGGCTGGGGTCTGGAGTGCCCTACACGGAGGTGGTGATATATATATATATATATGTGGTTGTTCCTGTCAGGTTGGCTGGGGCCTGGAGTGCCCTACACGGAGGTGGTGATGATATATATATATATATATATATGTGGTTGTTCCTGTCAGGTTGGCTGGGGCCTGGAGTGCCCTACACATGGTGGTGATATATATATATATATATATATATGTGGTTGTTCCTGTCAGGTTGGCTGGGGCCTGGAGTGCCCTACACGGAGGTGGTGATATATATATATATATGTGGTTGTTCCTGTCAGGTTGGCTGGGGTCTGGAGGGCCATACAAGGAGGTGGTGATATATATATATATATGTGGTTGTTCCTGTCAGGTTGGCTGGGGCCTGGAGCCCTACACACGGAGGTGGTGATATATATATATATATATATATGTGGTTGTTCCTGTCAGGTTGGCTGGGGTCTGGAGTGCCCTACACGTGGTGGTGATATATATATATATATATATATATATGTGGTTGTTCCTGTCAGGTTGGCTGGGGCCTGGAGTGCCCTACACGGAGGTGGTGGTGATATATATATATATATATATGTATGTGGTTGTTCCTGCCAGGTTGGCTGGGGCCTGGAGTGCCCTACACGGAGGTGGTGATATATATATATATATATATATATATATATATGTGGTTGTTCCTGTCAGGTTGGCTGGGGCCTGGAGTGCCCTACACGAGGAGGTGGTGATATATATATATATATATATATGTGGTTGTTCCTGTCAGGTTGGCTGGGGCCTGGAGTGCCCTACACGGAGGTGGTGATATATATATATATATATATATGTGGTTGTTCCTGTCAGGTTGGCTGGGGCCTGGAGTGCCCTACACGGAGGTGGTGATATATATATATATATATGTGGTTGTTCCTGTCAGGTTGGCTGGGGCCTGGAGTGCCCTACACGGAGGTGGTGCTTCTACCACGGATATATATATATATATATATGTGGTTGTTCCTGTCAGGTTGGCTGGGGTCTGGAGTGCCCTACGTGGTGGTGATATATATATATACAGTCAAATCCCGATGAGTGAATGCGGTGTCTCGAATATAATGCATAACACGAAGTACCTGTCGGTCCCGACCATTCCCTGCTGTTTTTGTCATCATTTGAGTTCGGTTACACGAATTAGTCTCATAAATACACCACGATGACTCGAAATGGAAATTTGGTCCTTGAGATTCAAACAATAGTAATCTTGTATACATAAGCCCGAAGTCAGTCAATGAGAAGTTAATTGGTGATCCAACTACATGTAACTGATCCAATTAACAAACCAGCTGGCTTTCGCACCTTTCCGCTATTGTCGGGTGAGTTCAAAAGGCAGATTAGTGATTTTACGGAAGCGGAAGAATTAGCACATGACATTGAGTTAACTCAATCAAATCGGTTGCGTTATATAGCAGCTTTCATTCGGTTATTACTATTCATGATCTGTACATCATGGCGGCGTTACAATGTTCCCAGCAATCTGGACTGGAGGAATTTCCGAGTCGGTTCCAGGCACAAACAACGAACATTTTTCCCACTTGGCAAGCGTCCGTGAATTTGTGGATAAATGTAAGGGAAATTCACAGAAACAAACGTTAATGTCAGACTTTTTTCAGAAGTGAGTTCATCTTTTTGTATATTAATAAGATTCAAGATGGCGGCATGTACAAGTATATCTATCGATTGCCGATAGAGTTTGTTCATGGATTTTAAGAGGTAAATGTATTTTCTATTTTATTGTGCTAGTATTGAAATGTGTTCTCATATGTATAATGTTTGTTTCCATTATCCATTATCTATGTCACCTAATGTATTGTTGTGCTATATTTAGATATGATGTAATGCGGAATAAAGGGAATTGTTCAATATTGAATCATCTTTTTTCTACCCTCATAGACATCCCTATGTCACTCGAATACATCGATAAGCCGAATCTTTTACTTGGTCCCCAGCGATTGACTCATCGGGGTTTGACTGTATATATGTATGTGGTTGTTCCTGTCAGGTTGGCTGGGGTCTGGAGTGCCCTACTGGCGTGTGGTGGTGATATATATGTATATATATGTGGTTGTTCCTGTCAGGTTGGCTGGGGCCTGGAGTGCCCTACTGCGGAGGTGGTGATATATATATATATATATATGTGGTTGTTCCTGTCAGGTTGGCTGGGGCCTGGAGTGCCCTACACGGAGGTGGTGATATATATATATATATATATATGTGGTTGTTCCTGTCAGGTTGGCTGGGGCCTGGAGTGCCCTACACGGAGGTGGTGATATATATATATATATATATATATGTGGTTGTTCCTGTCAGGTTGGCTGGGGCCTGGAGTGCCCCTACTACGGAGGTGGTGATATATATATATATATGTGGTTGTTCCTGTCAGGTTGGCTGGGGCCTGGAGTGCCCTACGAGGAGGTGGTGATATATATATATATATATATGTGGTTGTTCCTGTCAGGTTGGCTGGGGTCTGGAGTGCCTACTACAGCGTGGTGGTGATATATATATATACAGTCAAATCCGATGAGTCGAATGCGAGTGTCTCCGAATATAATGCATAACCACGAAGTACCTGTGGGTCCCGACCATTCCCTGCTGTTTTGTCATCATTTGAGTTCGGTTACCTGAATTGGTGGGTCTCATAAATGCACCGCGATGACTCGAAATGGAATTTGGTCCCTTGAGATTCAAACAATAGTAATCTTGTATACATAAGCCCGAAGTCAGTCAATGAGAAGTTAATTGGTGATCCAACTACATGTAACTGATCAATAATAACAAACCAGCTGGCGGCTCGCACCTTTCCGCTATTGTCGGGTGAGTTCAAAAGGCAGATTAAAGTGATTTTCACGAGAAGGAAGAATTAGCACATGACATTGAGTTAACTCAATCAAATCGGTTTCGTTATATAGCAGCTTTCATTCTGGTTATTACTATTCATGATCTGTACATCATGGCGTTACAATGTTCCCAGCAATCTGGACTGGAGGAGGAATTCTCGAGTCGGTTCCAGGCACAAACAAGCGAACATTTTTCCCACTTGGCAAGCGTCCGTGAATTTGTGGATAAATGTAAGGAAATTCACAGAAACAAGCGTTAATGTCAGACTTTTTCAAGAAGTGAGTTCATCTTTTGTATATTAATAAGATTCAAGATTGCGGCATGTACTAGTATATCTATCACGATTGCCGATAGAGTTTGTTCATGGATTTTAAGAGGTAAATGTATTTTCTATTTTTATTGTGCTAGTATTGAAATGTGTTCTCCTGTATGTATAATGTTTGTTTCCATTATCCATTATCTGTCACCTAATGTATTGTTGTGCTATATTTAGATATGATGTCGCGGAATAAAGGTGTTCAATATTATATATTTATGTGGTTGTTCATGGACATCCCTATGTCTGAATACATCGATGCGATCTTTTGCTTGGTCCCCAGCGGAGACTCATGGTGATTTGACTATATATATATATGTGGTTGTTCCTGTCAGGTTGGCTGGGGCCTGGAGTGCCCTACACGCGGTGGTGGTGATATATATATATATATGTGGTTGTTCCTGTCAGGTTGGCTGGGGCCTGGAGTGCCCTACACGGAGGTGGTGATATATATATATATATGTGGTTGTTCCTGCCAGGCTGGCTGGGGCCTGGAGTGCCCTACACGGAGGTGGTGATATATATATATATATGTGGTTGTTCCTGTCAGGTTGGCTGGGGCCTGGAGTGCCCTCCACGGAGGTGGTGAAGGGGGTCAATGAACCAGTGTGTGTAGCCACGCCCACCCCGGGGGCGGACAAGGTAAGTACACTGTTAAACCCTACGTTATTGATCTTAGTGGAACACCGTTCAGGATTAATAATACTTGGTTAACACAGTAATCTCTCTGTGTATAATTCTGATATGATTCAGCAAGAGGGGAAATCTGTTCATCTTACCTAGAGCTGCATGATTTTGGGTTTTTTTTAAATTGTCTTTGTGTTTGAGTAGGACAACAAATTTTGGTTGATGGGTTAATTTTACTCAACGAAAATCTTACGGAGATTCAGTAGTTTACAGTTTCTAAATACAATGTATTAAAATTGTTTTCTTTTTAATTTTGATAAACCTCAGTCCTCTCTGAATAGGACATGCTGCACTAATTTCTGGTTTGCAACAAATAAAGAGTTATTTTTTCTTCAGGTGACAAAAACATCAGCTTGACTGTCCTAATCCTCTTTGTGTCAAGAATGTATTCACTTGCTTTGGCCTGTCCGTAAATGTAAATGTTGTTTCAGATATATGAGCCATTGTGTGCCCGCTACAAGGTGTTAGAAGAGAAGATAGCTCAAAGAAACTCCTGAGTCAGCAAATCCAGCCAACACATAGAGACCTCTTGACCCCTCAACTATGGCCATAGATTCTCACTTGTTGGATTGCAACGGAGTCTGTGAGGTCAACGAACCATCTTGACTCTGGAGGCTCTGTGGAACTGTCCCCATGTCCCAGATTGTACTCCCCACATTCCTCCCTCACCACTGAATACATACTTCTATTCATAGGACTCACTTAATTTTAACCAGTGAACGTAGCCATGACCTGGTTCCATAGTTTAACCATTGAAAACATTAGAAATATTGGACGACCTTGTTCCAGGGCAAAACCAATGAAAACTGATTACCTTAGAACATTTTATGACCTGTATCAGAACTAAAGAAATAAAAACTGAATTACATAGAAAAAATAATTAGGAATCCGGTTTCAGAGCAAAACCTATGAAAACTGATGACATCAGAAATATTTTCCAAACAAATATTTTACAGACATCTACTCTGCACATTGCTTTGTTGGTTGTTTAACGCTGCGGTATGTAAGTAATCAAATCTGGACCAGACAATCCAGTGATCAACAGCATGAGAATCAATCTACGTAACTGGGATACGATAACATGTGTCAACCAAGCCTGACCACCCGATCCTGTTAGTGGCCTCTTACGCCAAGCATGGGTTGCTGAAGATCAATTCTAACCGGATCTTCATGGGTCTCTGCACATTGCCTCAGTGTCAGGCAGTGGTGGGGTATGATGATGACCATGCGAGAACTCATTTGACTTACATCAGTTATCCCCCCCCAAATACTAGGCACTATTGCACCACAAGATGCTGTATGTATTCAGTGGTGACAGAACCACTGTATGTACAAATCTGCCAGTAAGAGTCAGCTATGGTTATAATGAACTCGGAGGGACAACTATGTTTGTTTTGTTATGTTTGTTGTTTATGTACACATTTCAACTAAATTATGTACCAAGTGTCTGTTACACAAACATCAATTTGTTATGTCTGTCTGTTTGTTACATGTGTGTTTGTTATAAGCGTAGTTTACTGTATTGACGATGTAAAGTAAAAGAGAGTCAGTGTCCAGTATTCAAGAAAATGGTAAAAAGTGCTGAATTTTTTAAATATTTTGGCTTGGTATTAAACACTTCAGGTGAGAATATGTGCTTTGTGTTGATTTATCATGAAACTTTTCAAATCAGTTGCAGATTTTGTAAATATGAAATGGTTGTAAGTAATAAATATATAGGAAAATGAAAAGATTAATGGATTAATGGTGTCTTGATGGTTTGGGACCATGTTCAGACAATCCTATCAACCTACAGGCATTTGTATTAGTTAAATCAACGGAACTCCCTAAAGTGTATCTATTACGAGCTGCATGCGACATGTTGAAAGTGAGTTGAATGCAGTATCAATAATCCAAGCCAAATCATAAGTGGTCAACCAACTCGACCCAGAGTTGCCTCCCTTGTTGTCACTCATGTCAGACAAAAGGCAATGAAATCCCACTAATCAGGATGTGATACCACTTTCCTCTCTCAAACTGAACATTGTGAATTCTGACACCTTAGATTGAGATTTCTTGGTCTTGAGCGGAACTTGAAAGTGTGCTGTTTGCACACACTATTTACTTGCTACACATATTCGCTTTTGTCAAGTTTCCAATTATGGTATGCCTATTTTTCAGAATAAGAAATGAAGGTAAGCTTGTATATATTTCAAATATCCTGCAATTGTGTTGGAGAAAAATGTTTAGCAGAGATTGGTACCTCATGTATTGTACTATGTGCTTCTGTTTCGACATTGAGAGCAGGTACTACCGGCATAAATTGTCAGCACATCATTTTATTTGGGATTGTTTGTAATATGCATTTCAGTGTGCTTACAAATGATGTACAGTGTTTGTACTATGTCATGTGACTGTTGAGGATAGAGAAGATGAATACTGTTGCTAAGGAAGGTGCAAATTCAGATTATATACAACAATCTTTTAGCTCCCATTTATTTCAGTATGTCAAAAAAACTACCTAAATAGATGCTTACATCCCTCTATGGGTAATCTGTTGTGTGTGAAAATATTCGAATTCCATGCATAATGTGCTAAACGAAGATTCATTCCAAATAGATCAATATATGACTTGGTATATATGTGGTAACTGCCGAGGACTAGTCTGTCAGAGGTGTTTAATGCTAGCTCTAGACAATATGGTAGGGATTTGTGAGTGAGTGAGTGAGTCAGGGTTTTATGCTGCTTACAGCAATATTCCAGCAATATCACGACAGGATATTCACACATTGGTCACACATTGTATTCATGTAGGAAATCAAACCCAGGTCCTCGGTGTGATGAGCAAACACTTTATCCACTATGCTACCCCACCGTCCAGGGCCCCATTTCACAAAGCTCTCGAAAGCCTAAGATCTCGTAACTTTTCTCGTAGCATTAGTACCTCCTATACTGTAACATAGGAGGTACGATGCTACAAGAAAAGTTATGAGCTCTTAGGCTTACGAGAGCTTTGTGAAACGGGGCCCTGGTAGAGAATACATGTACTGTTGTATTGAGTTTGGAGTGGGAGTGTCTGTGAGCATCAAACAGCAATGGTTAGCACAGCTTGTCAATATATGAGGGTGAGTGTGTTTTTGTTTAAATTGTTTCAAATTTAGCAAATATGTGTGTAGAATTGTATTTCTCAATCAGAAATTGTGAAAAGTCCTAAGAAAAACAAACATAAGTCTAATCATGCATTTATATTGCATTAATACACATTGGTCACAAACTCTTGAATCACTACATTAGCTATTTTTCATGTGTAAACAAATCATTATTAAGTACTCTTATTGATTCTAGAAATACCATCTTGTCGTTCGTTTTATAGCTTGTGTTTATTAATCTAGATATGTTGTTTAAAAAAGCTTTGACTTGATTCACTATGCACATGTACACTGTGCAATATGATTTTTCATTTAATAATTGTTCAATTGATTATTTGTTTCAATAATGGTATCTGCATAGGAATTCATGCTAAAAATATCATATATGCATATATATATATCATGCTGCGAACCATCATAGAATTAGTTCAGTTTAGGACAGATATAATATTTAGATGCTCCCAAAAGCTGTCCCCATCACGCTTTGTTTAATCAACAAGGCACTGTCTCACATCTGGGGGAATTTTGCTGAGCAAATTTTATCACGTTCGTTTGTTTGTTTTGTAATGCCTCACTTAGCAATCCTCCAGTTGTATGACAGTGACCTGTGAAAAACCTTTTCGAATCAGACAAGCCAGTGATTGATATGAACACTTGGATACCGTGACACACAATCACGTCATGGAGTCCCACAATGATCTTTTTTTCAACTTTGACGAGGTTACTGGGCCGAATCAAAACCTGAATTAATGGACCTTAGTAGTTTTATTTTAAAATTTAAATCACGTTTCATATACATGATCTTGGAAAGGGTAGAGTTGGACAACTGTAGTGTGTGAATAAATGTGCCACTTTCAGGAGAGATCATGAATGGGTGTTGCCAATTCCTTGTGGGCACCGGACGCAGGTCTCTGTTGTAGTTGCCATGAGGCTTGGTGCGATCTTGAATATTATCACTCGGAAACTTGTTTTGGAGAGCAGTAGCATTTTAACAGGATGCCCCCTTTCCAGTCGTGACAGATATGAAGTTTATCTGGCAAATAATCGCCACTAGCCACTCTGGACAGTATCGGCTGATAACGCTTGTATTGACAGTTGATTACAGGTGTGACATACCTGATTGCGGGTCCTGGCTCTGATTCAAGTACGCTGTGTACTGATCTTGTCCATGGTATCAGTAACATTCTGAGGCCTCAGTACGGAGGTATTGGGGAAATTTTGTACTAATACCATCCTTCCAGTTTACAATCATATTTAGTTTCATAGTACAAGTCGTGATTTCATATTAGTGATTATGTTAAATATATAGCTGCTCTCATATCTGTGATAACATTAATGAGGGCGATCGTTGCTCGGTTATGTTTGTGATAAACAATCACCATCGATATGTATCCAAGGGAGTTAAGTGCGAACAACATAGAAAGGAGGATTAGTAAACGAACATCCTCTAAAGATCCTGATAGTCATTTTTGGATCAGGTACCTTGTCAATTTGGTCAACATTGTCTTTTAGCTAATTTCTTCACAAAATTTATATTGTTGTTTAAGGACCCTCATCCTCGATCATCTCCAGGGTATACGTTACGTGGAGAGTGATCGTAACGTATACCCTGGAGATTATCGAGGATGAAGGACCCTGTACTTATGCACTGTCTCAAGAATGATTATGTATGCAAGCAAATTATATAATGAACAGAATAAACTGATATCAAGGAGCTTGGTGTCTGTTGTACATTGCCAGTTGACCGGTGTAGATCCGGGTGACATCGGTCTTCAGTAACCCATGCTTGTCATCAGAGGTGACTAGCAGGATTGTGTGGTCAGGCTCGCTGACTTGGTTGATGCGTGTCATCCCACCACACTTACATAGATCATAGATCTATCAGGATGGCAATCAGTAGATTGTCTGGTCCAGGCTCTTCTTATTTACAGACTGCGGTAATAAAGCTAGAGTATAGATAACCCTCTGTTCATGGTTCCGATGCCCTTGAAAACTATAAGATTAATAAATTTAACGATCGAAGAGCTTTTATGTAGTTCAGAACATCAGATCACAATTTTCCTGTGTTAAATACCATCAACTGCAAGAGAATGTCCTGTCTGCCAATTTAACCTTCCTTTCATGTCCCCATCATTGAAAAATAGAAATTTGTACATACTGTTAATATTACTAAGCCTGATATGTGAGGTAGGCGAAATGGGGTAGTCGTGCTTGAGAATATTTCACTCATATGACGATGTGCATGCGTGTGTATGTGTATGTGCGGCTGCTTTCACTAGCCCAGACTTAAGCTGGTTTTATAGTGCTAGCTCCATGAGATACCATGCCGCAGTGAAGCATGAATACCTCACTCAGACACAGTATACTGACTCCGATCCGACCAGTCCTTGTTGTACCCATTAATGCCGAGCACCATGCAGGGACCAACAAGTACCATATTTTAAGGGCTGTTGGTATGATGCAGACGGGGATCGCACCCATTACCTTCCGGGGAGATGATCTAACCAAGCTACACCATGGAGGCGGTTCATATGTATAAAATGAATATACATTTCAACAGCCGAAGGTAAGGAACATTAAGAAAAGTATCTAAGTCATCTTAGATAATCATGATAAAGTGGGGAAAATATTTCATGAATGTTTAAACATTCTCAGATGTGATCTGTATCTGACCCGAATGCTTGCAAAAGATGTTAATAAGGCTGTCATATGTTACTGTATAGATACATTTTGTATAACCAATACTTGCTAACCCGCGAAGGTCCGGGTTAGAACGAACCTTCAGTAACCCATGCTTGTCATGAGAGGCGACTAACAGGATCAGGTGGTCAGACTCGCTGGCTTGGTTGACACATGTCATCGGTTCCCAATAGCGTAGATCGATGCTCATGCTGTTGATCTCTGGATTTTCTGGCCCAGGCTCTATCTTTTACAGACTGCCGCCACAGAGCTGCAATATTGTTGAGTGCGGCTGAGCAAAAATCCAACCAACCAACTAATACTTGCTCCGGAAGTAACTGTGTAATAAAGATCAGTTCAGACGCGATTACCACTGATGACGATCTGATGTAGGACTTGACAACAATCTGACAACCAGCCTCGTACATACATCCCATTGTTTATTTTTGCACAGAATCGATCACACAAAACTCTTGAAAACCATCGTACTAATTGTTCTATGTTATTACATGCTTGACCACCGGAATTTATTGTTCAGTCCGTTGATGGATTGGCATGACTGCTACCGGGAAAGATGTAAAGTAAGTGTTCATCTTATTTTCCTCATTGGTGTGTGCAGATAGACATTTATATGTGATGGCATGAAGTCTTTGCACGACATTTGAAATTGATACTCGTGAATGGGACGTGTGTTTATTAAAATGAAGAAGATGATATCAGGAAAACTCTGTCGCATTCGTTCTAGAGCATTTTTTCGCATTACATTTTATACATATATTTTTTAAAGTTTTGTAACTGGGTCGGATTATTTCCCGCTTTGAAAGAATGTATGATTTGATTTCTTAAATTTCACCCAACACATCACACTGTGACACCCGTGAAGATCCAGGTTACAATTGGCCGTTGTCAACCCATGCTTGTCGTGAGAGGCGACTGTGACGTGATCAGGTAGTCAAGGCTCGCTGACTTGGTTGACACATCTCATCCCAACTGATTATATCAATGCGCATGATGTTGATCACTGGATTGTCTGGTTCAGACTGGAATATTTACAGATCGCCGCCTTATAGCTGGAATATTGCTCAGTTAAACAACAAACATATTAACTTGAGAGAAACATCACTCCAATTAGTGCATTCAACCAAAGAATTCAGTTTGTTTCAA